ATTTCCTTTAATTGGCTAAAAGGTAAGATGAATGATTTTCTTTAAAATAATAATTTTTGCTCACTGAGGCCACAGTGGGAAAATTGGCAGCAGTGAGAACAGCCAAGCGTGCCACAAAAGTGAGCTTACGTGGAGTGTCAGAGAAAGGAGAACAAGTACTGGAAAAGGCTTTTTTTTAAGAGTGGGAACCCTGCACTAAGCAGCAGTGTGTGTACTGACTGACTGTTTTTTATCACAAGTGTGAGATGGCCTTCCCCCGAGTGAAGCCTGCATCCGACGAGACGGCTTTCAGCGAGTGTCTGCTGAAGAGAAACCAGGACCTGAGCCCCACGCCCGCAGAGCAGGTCAGTCCACAATCAAACACTGACCGCACTACAATAGGTCTCTTGTTTACTGTCACTGATACAAACCCTGATTATTGCTCTCTTGCTGCCTTTTAGTCCTCCATCCTGTCCCTGGTCACAAAGATCAACAATGTCATTGACAACCTGATTGTTGCGCCTGGCAACTTTGAAGTGGTGAGTCTTTCTGTTACTGTCTCTAACATCCTGAATGACTCTGTGATGTGTTCCTTATTGTAGTTCAGATCAGTGTGTGGAGTTGTATAATGATACATGTGACAAATGATCAGGTCACAATACTAAAGGAATTGGTGAACTGTCCTGCTAGAACATCCCAGGTTCCCAGTTTAATGTATCTGTGTGAAATGAAGCAATAACAGCAAGTATTTAGAAAACTGCACGGCATTATTTTTTACTAACCATATTTCATTATAAGTATCTTAAACCAACTTAGGGTGAAATTTAAGGGTAAGGGTTTACATTTTTGCGAATTAGAATTTTCTTTCTAATTCTTTTGTATCAGTAAATACATGTGTAACCTGTGACTAATGTGAGCTAGTTAATAATATTGGTACATTACAAGTTAATAATGTCGCACCTCTGTATCTTTGCAGCAAATTGAAGAGGTGCGTCAGGTGGGCTCTTACAAGAAGGGCACCATGACAACAGGACACAACGTTGCTGACCTGGTTGTAATCCTCAAGATCCTCCCGACACGTGAGTGTTCCAGAGGAAGTGATGTCATCTGCGTAAAAATAAAGAGGCCATTGGTGTAGTCATGAGATCATGCAGTGTTAGTAAACTGCAGAACGCAGCATTTGTTGCTTGCCTTGGACAGCAAGCAATATCTCTTTCACTCACAATGTCTACAATCAGTTTTGCATCCTCATCAAAATCATCTGGTCCTCAGTATGTGTTCAGTGACTTCTCCTGTACCGGCACTGTGTGCAGGTTAATTGACAAAAGAAAGGAATTTGTGTGCACAGGACTTTTTTGCTTGGTGTTTTTTAATACTAGTATTGCATCGAAGTTTACGATTCTGGTATCATAACAACCTTACTTAGAAATACAGTATAAACATGGTTTTCTGCAGACTTTTTCTGTTTAACAAGAGAAGCCAAAATCTTACACAAATCCCTAACTAAAGGCTAAATAAATGGTCGAACACTGATTTTGATTGGGAAGTATCAGATTAAACAAAACAAATCTAAACAGACAATTGATTTCCAGATTTTGTCAGGTACTGACCATTTTCACCACTTCAGTTGGGGAAGTGTGCACTGTGCAACTGTATTATCGGATCGGATCAGGACTCTTTATCTGAAGATATTCCGATCGCCAAAAACAACTTGGATGTCCCTAATTTAAACCTTTAGCCAACTGTGTGTGAATTTAGTGCCTGTTTACTACATTAAAACCCTGTGTGTCAGTCTGCCTGGTAAAACAATCAATGGCTGTTGGTCATTCTAATGCAAGGAGAGCTTTATTCAGAGCCCCTGACCATTTCATCTGTAATGTTGGATGTTTTTTTTTTCCTTTTACAGTGGAGGCAGTCGCTGCTCTTGGCAACAAAGTAGTGGAGACCCTTCGCACACAGGACCCTACTGAAGGTAACCCAGTGAGGGGCTGTTGTTCACTTCCTAAAAGATGTATGCTTTCAGTTTAACAGGACAGATAGTGACATTATTTGATTTCATTTAATTCTGGATTCAAACAGTGTACTGAGCTGGTTCAGTTGTTGGACACACGCATGCTGAATTCCTCAATGTCAGTGATCAGTTGATAATTGATGTAACAGTGCTGACTGTGTGTATCTGCTGGTTTCAGTGCTGTCCATGCTGACCAACGAGACAGGCTTCGAGATCAGTTCGGCTGATGCTACAGTCAAGATCCTCATCACCACCGTCCCCCCCAACCTGCGTAAACTGGACCCCGAGCTGCACTGTATGAACTCACACACAACTTACACCGACCATGATCCTCAGTGTCCCCAGGTGGAGTGTATTTTGTTGCATTCAGGTTACTTTGTCTGTTGTCTCTTCAGTGGACATCAAGGTGCTGCAGAGCGCCCTTGCCGCCATCCGCCACGCCCGCTGGTTTGAGGAGAACGCCTCTCAGTCAACGTGAGTAAAGTCTCCTTGTCCAGACCATATACACACAGTGCGGCTCGCCTGACCTCATTGGATTCTGTCATATTGATCGCCTTCAGGGTCAAGGTGCTGATCCGCCTGCTGAAGGACCTGAGGCTGCGCTTCCCTGGTTTTGAACCCCTCACTCCCTGGATCCTGGACCTGCTGGTGAGTCTGCTGCTTTACACTCCCTGACTCCTGCCATTTGAAAAACAGAACCTGGGTCCTAATTTTGTGGCTGGTGTCCGTTGTGTTCCAGGGCCACTCCGCAGTGATGAACAATCCGTCCAGGCAGCCCCTGTCCTTGAACGTGGCCTACAGGTTGGTCCCCACTTTCAGGTTTCATCTGTTTGATTACGTTCACTACAGATGGGACGTTGTCTCTGAGCTTTGTGTTGGACTCTGTGTTTTGAAGACGCTGCTTACAGATGCTGGCTGCTGGTCTCTTTCTGCCCGGCTCTGTGGGCATCACTGACCCCTGTGAGAGCGGGAACTTCAGAGTGCACACAGTGATGACTCTGGAACAGCAGGTAGGCCTGATCCCATCGCTTCACTGCAGGCCATGCAGGGAGATTGGTGATTCCACTCTTTATGACCTGTGTCTTTAATATCCTGTAGCACACTGGAAGTGTTGCACGTACCTGATGATGATGATGATGATGATGATGTGTGTGTGTGTTTGTGCAGGACATGGTGTGTTTCACAGCGCAGACACTGGTGAGGGTGCTCTCTCACGGAGGTTACAGGAAGATCCTCGGCCTTGAAGGAGACGCCAGCTGTAAGATAATCTCATTCAGTATGAGGAGTATAGGCTGGTTTTTACTCACTGCTACAATGTCTTGATACCTTGTATATGAACATTTTTAGCATTTAGAAATGAAGCAACTAGCTTAAAATCAGTAAAATTTGTTACAGGTAAATCTTTATTGGGCACTCATCCTGGCATTCCTAAAGCTTTTCTTTATCACGCCTGGATAGCCAGCTGTCAGCTCCTGGCTAGCTAACATGACACACATTCCAGAGAGAGAGCTAGTAGCAATAATAACGCTGACCCAGCTCTGCAGGTCGTAACTCTGCCTAAGTAACTCTAATGGAACTGTTGTTGCAGACCTGGCAACAGAGATGTCCACATGGGACGGTGTGATCGTCACTCCGTCAGAGAAGGCCTACGAGAAACCTCCAGAGAGGAAGGAAGAGGAAGATGAAGCTCTGGAGGAGGGAGGAGACGGAGAAGATGAGAGCATGGAGACCCAGGAGTGACGAGGAGTTCAGGTTGGAGCATCTCCACATTGTACCACCAATGGAGTTCCGTTACATAACCCTTTTTAATAGCTCAGAGTGCTCAATGTATGTCTGTTGGAGCTTTCTCTTTGAAGCTGTGTTATTACAGTAACAATCTATCCATGAATGCAATAAACCACCTTGTCTTTGACAAGCCACATTAAAGTTGTTAGTCTGGCATCAGTGAGCTTCAGTCAGTTTTCCTAGATCATACAGTTGCACAGTGCACACTTCAAGTACATTAAAGCTGTTCAAATCCAATGTATATGCTTGACAGTTGAATAGTTCTATTTGACAAAATAACAAGGTAAACAAACTAAAAGATATGTTTATAAATAACTCAAGTCCACTTAATGCAGCAGTGTAGGAGTTCAGTCTAAACCTGCTCTATTTGAGAAGTGTCCTGAGATAACTTGTGTTATGAATTGGCGCTATACAAATACAATTGAATAGAATTGTAGTAAAACTCAAACAAAACGTAGTGATCGAGGCAGCGGTAGACCAGCAACTCCTGTTCTGTGAGGTGAAATTACAGTTTTAGTCTGGTGGCTTTAAACAGAGCGTTTCAACAGCTGTTTCTGGTTATACTAAAAGGATCTTACTCCTATATCTTTGTAGGGGTCCTTTCCATAAACCTATTAGACTAACAATCAGAATCAGTTGCAGAACAAGCACTTTTAGTGGACGCACTTTGAATACTTTGCATATTTGCCCACATGGAGTATGTTGCACTGGACCAAAAAAAAGTCAAACTTTTTGTACCTATTAAAACAAAGGACTGGGCTTAGTTAATTCTCAATATAATGGATAGCAACCAGTCAGAAACGTCCGTGATTGACCCTGATACCAATCTTTGAGATCGGTTCAGGACCTCTCTAGTATTTGTTATGTAGTTGTTTTGTTGTGCCTTTGAGGTTTGTTTAAACTAACCATCATATGTTCTCTTTCCACAGTGAGTGTTGGTGAGCGTATTGAAGAAGTCTTTTCAGCTGGGCCACGGTGTGTACTTTGGATGTTACCTGAACACAAACACCAGCAGGAACTGCGTTCCACCCGACAGCCACTGGTCCCCCGATGTGTTCAGAAAAAAGACTGGCCTCATTTATTGTCAGTTTTAATAATGTTTTTATTTCCCTTTGCTTTTTACTTCCTCTTTGTAACAGTGAACAGTTGAAACCCTGGATTAAACTTTGTTTTTAATTTAGATGGAGTCTTGATATTTGTGCAGATATTGACGAGTCAAAGCTCAAACAGTCAAGCTCTTTATTACAGGCAAAATCGAACATGTGAAATATTAACAGGTTGGATTAAAGCACACAAGTGCATAGATCGTGTAAATTTGACCCGATACTGTTGGACATGTTCAGGTCAAGGTTCCCAAATGTCAACATAGCGTAGATGTTAACTGATGAAAAGCGGTCATGGGTAACAGGAATAGTTTTTACTAATGATTAAGAAAAATGTCTTGGCTCTAGATAAGTTCTGTTTAATGGTGAGAAGTCCAGTCAGAATGGTGAGAACAGGCAGTGATGGTGGTGATATTACAGATTATGTTAGAAAATATATATACACACCTAATTTCTAGTTGATCTGAGTAAGGTGAGCCATTTGAGACCTGAACCCCACAGCCCTTAAAGCAGCAGAACCTCCTCCTTTAGTGTGGAGCTTCAGATATATCCTGTTCCTGCATCTGTGTGACAGTGCAGTCACTTCATGGCTCGAAAAAGTGGACGTGTTCCACAGAGTGTTAAACATTCCTAAACTGCCCCTTTTTGCTATATGCTCCAATAACAGTTGAGCTTTCTCCTTTCCTGTGCTTTGATGTGCTACGTGCTAGTGCTATGTTGAAAAGACAACTACATTTTGAAGAGGGTTAAGTGAAATTACATTTATAGTCACATCTTACATTAGCTAATATTAACACTGGAATGAGCTAATCTACATTAATCGTTAGTTACATCTGATAGCTAATGTTAGCTATAACAGTTATGCTAAAATGCAACAATATATATGTCACTTAACATTTAAGCCATCTTCAAAATGTGGTGGTCTTTCCAACATAGATTAGCCTAGCACATAGCATATCTAAGTACAGGAAAGGAGGAAGTTGACCGAGGCCCAAAAAGGGACGGGACTTAGGAAGGGTCACCTGGGAGACAGTGATATGTGGATGGTGGCTAGCTTTATGAGTGTGACACATGGGGAAGACAGTGGGCTCTGCGCAGCGTCCACTGTGTGGACCTGGCTCACAGCTGTCAGGTTTTCAACGGTCCTCGTGGATGCAACCCGTCACTTACTTTGAAGACTTGAAGGATTTGGACACCCTGCCACTAATTCACAATGTGCTCACAGTACATCAGCTGCTGTCTTCACAATCAGATTAGTTAAGAGTCTGATCTCAGCCCTCCCTGTGGCTCCTCAGATGGACCCCCCTCCAACGTGTATCTGGGTTCACGGCTTCAGTTTGAGCCAGGGGTGAACCATGGTGAGGATGGAGAGGACAGAGGAGGCCAGTCCACAAGCCCCGACAAAGCCCTGCCCCGTGGGGTAGATGCCCAGCCGGTCCAGTGGGATGAAGATATCGCAACTGTTCTTCAGCAGGTCCAACAGCAGTGGCGGGTTGCTGTACAGCACCGTCACCAGCAGGTGGAGCCGCCTGCGGAGCCACGTAGACATGACGGGCAAGGCGGCGGCGGCGGCGGCGGCCGGAGCGGCGGCCGAGGAGGAGGGGGAGGACAAGTGGTCAATGGGCAGGGCGGCACTGGGGTATGGTGAGGGTGGGGACTTGGAGGCTCTGTACCTCTCCTCACACTCAATGAGGAGGCGGAGCTCGTACACATCTCGAGTCAGGTTGAGGATCAGAGCGAACAGGTAGTACCTGCAGATTCACAACAAATTCTGCTGAACAAGTTTACTTGCACAGAGCTAATTCACACACAAAATAACTCAATCTTTTCCATCTTCATTAAAACAGACTCATAGAAAAGAAAAAGAGAAGCTCACTCACCTGAAAGACCTCTGACTCCACTTCTGCTGGTCCAGGTTGGAGATGAGGCCTGTTTTTCCCGCCCACAGGACATTGTCACAGGCAAAGTACATGGCTCTGTTGAGGTGGCTGATGGTCAGGCAGAGCCTCAGCACACTGTCAGAGAGGTGTATGGCCCTCTTGGCGGCCTCCAGCGCCTCCACTGAGTTCCCCAGACGCAGCACTGTGAGACACAAACACACATCAGACACAGCCCTCGGCTTTCAGCTGCTTGGTAAAGAACCGGCGGCCTCACTTACGCTTTCTCGTCAGGCTCATGTGCGCCTCCAGCTGACTGACGGTTTTGTGGAGTTCGGCCGCAGCCCCGCCCTTCCGCAGAGTGTAGCCCAGCAGAGTACAGGCATACTGGGCGGCCCTGTGAAAAGCAGAGGCAGGCTGATAAATCATTCAGGCCCTATATGTATCAGCTTACTGACTAAAAGTCCTGAATCTGTATCAAGATTGCTGTTTATGTTAGTTATGTTGTTGCAAACACTGTAAAAACAGGACTTCAAAATAAAGATATGCCCACATTATTGTTGTTAAATAATGTTATTTAACTTTTTATCCATTCTGTCTTATTATTGTCTTGTACTTTGAACTGCACTAAACTGTATTAAGGGGCTATAACAAATAAAATTAAAATAAAAAAATTATCCCAATAATTAAATTACAACCACTAAAAATTGGTCCATAATAATCAGCATTTATTTTGAATTATTTTGCAAAACGTTTGATAGGCTGTATGTTCTATAAATGTATGTTTGTTAAGTTTTTTGATTACCTTCACTAGCAAAAACACAAATGAACATTTGAAGAACATTGTTGCTGTTGTGTTAACAATAGTCAGTTATTTGCAGTGGAATATTAAATGCTCACTATATCTCTGCCAAGTGTGTAAAAACTACAGGTTACATATGTAAAATCTAAGTTATCTTATTGGTCAGGAGAAGCAAGTTATTATTAGTTATTATATCGGTGGAAAAAGAATCCATATCGTGCATCCTTAAATATCAATATGTGCCTTAAAAATCCAGTATGAGTCACTATAGTGACGAGGTTAAGTGTTTTGTGTATCACAAGGACTAAAAATGAAGTCTGCTTCAGCAGTTTAATTTGACTGACCATGAGCCCTGTAAAGTATGCCTATCATACATTCACAGACCAACAGCAAATAAACCAATGTGCACAGGGGGAAGAATGTGTCAGTATTTATGTATATTTGGTAGAGGCATCATATGATGTACATATATTTTATTTGTATAGCGCCAATTCATAACAGAAGTTATCTCAGGACACTTTTCAAATAGAGCAGGTCTAGACCGAACTCTTTATAACATTATTTACAGAGACCCAACAGTACCACCATGAGCAAGACCTTGTTCTTCTCCCATAGGCTTTAAAAGAACTGGCACCAAACGGCATTAGACTGTTGGTGTTACGATGTGATGGCTGTTCCTTCTTTTGTAGTTTTCTTGCTTTATTTTAGTGCAATATAACCAAGTGCAATGAATCGCAGAAGCTGCAATGTTCTGATGAAGGTAAAATGTGTGTAAGACAGTACTTAGTGCTGCAGTAGTCTCCTGGTCTACAAATCCTCTTCTCCATGTAAGAAGACATGTTTGTTTGGTACAGACCCCAACAAATGAAAAATGAAATGTATAATTTAAAAATGACCACTCACTAATCGTGAATCATATCGCAATATGATTTTTGTTACACAGCTTGAGTCTATAATCACAAAGATTGTAAATAATCTAAAGGTAAAGGTAATAAAAAACAGAAATAATAATAGTTCAATAAATATCTTACAACAATAGTTAAAACCAAAACTGTAAGCTTTTAACAGCTTTGTTAGAACATTCAGATACAGAAATAACCTTGCTTCATCAATCATTTCTCGTGCCTAGGCTACTGTATATATATGTACTGTATACATATAATTCCTTGCACATTATTAATATTAGACCTATACTGTATATTCTCTCAAAACTATACTGCTGTATATATTTTTGTCCTTTATTATGTTTTTATTTACACCATGCCACTACCTCCGGCTGTGCCCTGTTCAGTCACATCAGTATTTAAGAAGCTGTATATAACGTATATATATAACGTATATATATATAATCTGTTGTGTGTGGAGCTGCTGTACGTTAGCTAGTGAATGCCCTCAGTGTGTGTCTGCGGTATGTTTCCATGGTAACTTGTGTGAAACTAACCAGTTTGATGAGTCTGCTTTCATTAAGCTAGTAGAGATGAAAGTTAGCTAGCTGACTAGCATTAGTCCATTTGCGGCTAGAGGGAGAATTCAAACGTTGTTGTTAATAAAAGTTGTAACTTTACCTGATAACTCTCTCCTTGGCTTGGCTTTGAGCGTTAAACCGAACCCAGGAGTCCATACTGGCTCGTTGTTCTCAGCCGGACTGGCACAGCGGCTCGCTAGTTAACGTTAGCTCACTAACGTTAGCTTTCAACCTGCTGGCTGTTTGTGTCAGTGACTCCTGAGCTGCTAGTTAGCAGCTAGCTAGGTGTTACTATGCTGAACGCGATGTCTAGTGCTTTAAAAACAGTAACAGTAGTTCTAATCACAGATTATTTACAATCTCACTCTCCTCGAACTCGGATATGACCCTCTTCTGAATCCGGGGAAACGTCTTCTTCTTCGGCAGATGCAAACTTGAGACAGTTTTTAGGTGCATTACCGCCTCCTACTGGACTGGAGCAGAACAGCAAAGAAGAGGAACTCTCTGTCAGACCTCATTCTGTTGAGTCATTCATACAAAACACCATATATAGTTCTACAGCTACACAATGAAAAGTATGTGACAAAAATAACAATATAATTGAATAATGTAGTGATAGTTCTTGTTGTTAATGTAGTATAAGCATATCATTTTGTTAAAGCAAATGGTACCACTGAGTTATCTGAACAGGCATATATGAGGTGGCAATCTGAAAGGGCCACTTGGTTACACTTTGTTACACTTTGTTACACGTTGTTACACTTTGTTAGCGGGTGCACAGTCACTCTACGTGCTCTGAATTTACACCCCTGAAGTTGTGTTTAACCAAATTCCCACAAACTGACTGAACGTAGCAATACTGGAGTTCGGTCTCTGATGAATATTCACAGGAAATAATCTGCTCCAAATTCATCCAAATCACTTGTTTTGCACAAATGTACTGCAGTTATTGTGTTCACTGTTTGTTCATCAGTTAAAAAATAAAAGGAAAAAGGTTGGGAACCACTGCTTTATACGACAGCTTTCCTAAAATTAGATTTGAAAAGAAATTTGCAATATATTGACTATACGGAATTGAACTGTATTGTGATACCTATTGTATAAATGTGTTGTGTAAATACATCATGGTGCATTTATATACATTCAATTTAGCAAATAAAGCATGACTAAACCAATGTAGAAAGTCAGAGTAAAGTGAGCTCTCCAGAAAGAGATTCATGTATCAACTGGTAGCAACAAAGTTTGTATAAATATGACAATGCCATTTCTTTATTTTTATTTGAATATACAGTCAACATTACAAGAGCAGCACATCTTTACAACAAAAGAACTACAAATTAAAAATAACAATATTCTAACGTAGCCAAATTCAGTTCTTTAGTACATATTGTTTGTATTGAAGTGTCAGAATAAACATCTTTTATGAATGGGATGATGTGTATATTTTTCTGTTAGTGTCGCTTAACAAAATGCACATTATGCAGACTGGGGTGATCAATGGATCATCAGTGGTTTTAGTATGGATGAAATGTTTCTGCTAATTTATATTGTGATATAAAAATAAATTGATTAAATGTTTGGATATTTAACCCAAACCTCTTTTGATTTTTAAATGATTATTTTAAAATAGGATTTGTCTTTTTCTAACACAGCCTGACTGGCATTTTAACTTCTTAACTGCTTTTTTTCAACATGTGCAAGAAAAAGATTTAAAGCTGCAGTGGGTAACTTTATTTCACAATATCCTGACACTGGTACATGTTCTACTGTCAGGATTTAGTGAAAGTTTCAGCAAATATGTAAAAAGTTATTTTTATAAAAGTTACCTGCTGCAGCTTTAATCCAGTTCTCTGTCTGTCTCTGGAGTGTTAGTTAATCAAAACTTACAGCGGATCATTACTTTCATTGGCAAGAATTTTCTGATTTGTGTTTAGAATAAAGCAGGTGGGAGATGCGTTTCTTTTCTCAGGAAAATAAAGCAAATAACAAAGACGCCCACAGAAACAGAGCTTGCTGTGTAACCTCTACCCCACATCAATACCGAAGTTACATCACACAGCGAATACTGTCTACATCCTACCCAGAATGCAACATTCTTAAAGAAAGACAAGCCCTATGTAATGGGTACTGGTCCGGATCTTTACAGTATGTGAGGAACCTACAGCGAGGTGCAGAACTGTGTAGTGAAGCTTTGAGTGGAAATTCAGTCAATCAAATTCACGTCATTATGACATCTTTTTATCTCTCTTTGCTCTGATTGGTTGTTTTCGTTCAGGCCCGGTGGATTCTTGTAAATCCCATTAGGAGCACTAGGAGGAGCCAGAGGAACCTGATTGTTTCACAGATTATCTGTCTCATGTTCTACTGTCAGGATATAGAGAAAGTTTCAGAAAATACAACAAAAAGCAATTTTTAGTTATCTACTGCAGCTTTAAGAGACTTGTCTGAAAAGCCAAAAGCCAAAGAGCTAGTCAGCGGACCTTGAGTTAAAATTATTTTCTTTCAGAGCTTTTGAGATGTGGTTCCCAAAGCACTAGAGTCTGCACCAGGTTTTGTCCCTGGGGTTACTGCAGGTTTGTTCTCAGACACATCCACTGTACATCATCACCATCACATACAGGAAGTGTGCTATTGTTGTAAACACAAAAGACACTTGTGAGTCTACACAATCATATAGAAAAATGGACAACATGACAGCCTTCCGATAGTTAAGCCAAAACATCTGTATCGCCCTCTGGTGGCTGACAGCAGTATAGATGAAGCCTGCTGTCTCCATGTTAGGTAGTTCTTATCACGCTGATGTTTGTTCAAGTGTTCATTTGTCTGAAAATTTTGGGTTTAATTAGTTATTTGAAGATATAAAATGAGGGTTTTCAACTCATGATTGACAGCTGAGCCCTGTTTGCGACTGAGTTGACCTAGTGTATGGGTGGGACGGCGATACTGCAGCGCCAACCCCGATCTCCACTGTCGGACTCTGGCTCCAAATGGCAAAAGGTGGCAGTGGCAGTATCCAAGATATTTTGGCTTCACTTTAGTACAGAGGGAGGAAGTGCAGACACAATGTCCATTTTTTATATGGCAATGGTTTACACAGAAGAACACTTTCTCTTTATGCATTTACTTTGGAAAAGCAGTCAAGTCATAATCAGTCCCTCCAGGATTTCATGGGCTTTTGGAGGGGATTTTTGCGGCCTAAAATGCCTGATTTCAGCTTTTTTTTTTTTTTTAAATGCAATGCATGTTGCAAGGTTTTTAGGAATTTAATGAAACTGCTGGAAAAAGTAAAAATTGCAAAAAGGTTGTAATTTTTTGTATGAAATTGAAGACGTGTTCCAGTGATAATAAAATCGCTCGTAGTTTGGTGATATATGTCTCAACGTTTTGTGCGGGGACTGCTACAATTAGTGGAACTTGTGTAAACTACAGTTACTGTTCAAATTTGCGTAAAGTTGCAATGACAATCAGACAAAATTGCAAGATTGCTTAGAATTCACAAGTCTTAGTGGAATATGCGTTATTTGTTGCGATCACAACATCATAACTTCCTGGAGGGACTGGATAATGCAACAGCAAGGCTCAGAACAATGCTTTCACCACACATTAACATCAACATCAACATCAACACCATGGGCTCAAATGATTGCATTTATGTGAAGTATATAAATGTTTTTATTACGTGTTTTTACGCTGATACGTAGTCTACTGTGTTCATACTATCAAACCACAGATGTGACAACCAATCATATTCATCAACCAATGTGTGGAGTTCACATTTTGTGTGGACTGATCAAATGTTCTGAACTCTTGAAGATGTTTCATTAAAAGGTGCTGTTAGCGTTATCTTTTTGTTAAAATAAGTGTTATATAGCTTTACATTCTGACAGCTGTCACTGATATACAGTGTTCAGTCAGTAACAGGGCTGTACTGGTCCCTACTTTCTGCAGTAAACAGAGAATACATTTTCTAGTATCCTGTTCCCACTTTATCCAATCAGGAGAGAGTCCACATAGAGGTGGTCCTCAAGGGCAACAGAATATCAGTGTGGTGACGTAGGGAGGAGAAAGGGGACTGCTGACTGCAAGAATGGACAGGAAGTAAGCCAAAATGCAGATTTCACTTACAGCACCTTTAAATCTAAAATTTCTTAATAATTTCCAAGACAATTTCCTCCAAAGAACTATTGTATTTGGTTTTAATTATAGGGGAATAGAGACAACATTCAGTTTATACACTTCCAATTATTAAATTCAAAGTTATTTCTGGTGTAATCAAGTCTTTTTTGTAGTCAGTGCACAGCAGTTCAGCTGAACATGCAAAAATGGGACCTTGACTACCTCCGAGATAAAAACGGCTCATTCTAAGGTAAAGAACCCAACAATTCTTATTTTCAGGTGATTACACACTAATGAAAACATAACTATAAATATTATAATATCCTCCTAAATGTTACACACTGGAGCTTTAATGTCTACCTGGGTTTAAATAAAGCCTATCTTTCAAAGAAATCCATATTTTTCCTTCAATTAGTACCAAATAAAGCACATTTTTTTGAGAAACGTCCATGGAAATTATTAGCAAATGACAGACCCATAAAACAAAATGTTTTCAAAGAACCTCTTCAGGTAGCCCAAATGTAACAAGGCCCTCAGACAGCAGTAAGATAAGGAGCTCTGAAGCTTGCATGGAAAACCCTGACAACCTGTCCTGCTAACAAACTGGATGGTACCACCTTCATCAATTTGAATTGCTGATTAAAAACTACAAGCCTAGAAACAGTAGCAATATAATCCAGCTGAAGCTTTTCTTCTATTGATTTCACTGCAGCTTTTCTAACAAACTGCAATGCATGGTGCGATGTTTTTAGTTTAGTTTAGCACTTGTATGCATGAAATAGCGAGAAAGATTGCAATCGTTTTGTATAAAAAACAAAACAATAGGAGGCAACTTGTTCCAGTGAGAATAAAATTAGTTTGGTGATGTACGGTTCAACATTGCTATGATTAGTGAAAGTTGCAGGAAACAAGTAATTTGCCAAATTTGTGGAAAAGTTGCTGTGATTGGACAAAATTGCAAGGTCACGTAGAATTCACAGGGATCGGTTCAATTTGTGTTAATTGTTTCGCAACCTCAAAACTTCCTGGATGGACTTTTTTCCACATTTTGACATGAAATAGTAGGGTAAACACCGGTGTTAACGATGATACTAATTAAAGCTACAGTAGTACAGTGTCATATTAACTGAAACTTTCACTATATCCCGACAGTAGTACATGACACAGATAATCTGTGAAACAATCAGGTTCCTCTGGCTCCTCCTAGTGCTCCTAATGGTATTTACAAGAATCCACCGGGCCTGAACCAAAAAAAACAATCATCTTACATCTCACATCTTATTGGTTGTTTTTCGTTCAGGCCCGGTGGATTATTGCAAATGCCATTAGGAGTGAACGAGCCAGAGGAACCTGATTTTTTCACAGATGATCTGTCTCATGTGCTACTGCCAGGATAAAGTTAAAGTTTCATCAATAATGACAAAGGGTTACTTTTATCAAAATGACCTACTGCAGCTTTAAGGTTCTGTCCATTCAGGTCAAACAGAGTCAGGGTGCTGCTGTTATACACGTTGGCTTAATGCAATGGAGCCTTAAATAGTATCATTGGTAACACTGTAATTCCACGACTACTTCATGTCAAAATGGCTGCTGTAAAAAGGTCTATAGTGTTGCGCACAGGTGCTAACTACAAAGCATTTCTGAACACCTGATGGAGTTGACGTGATTTGATTGTAGAGAGATTGGGATAATCCTTTGATGAAGACGATGATGATGATGATGATGACGATCATTATCTGAGAAAGCCTACTTGAACACTTTTACTTCCCTGAATATGGGCAGAGGAAAACAGATAAATATGACATCTATTTGTGTTGTCCATGCTAAGATTAAAGTAGTGCCAAGCGTACTCATTCATATTTTACACTCACGAAAGACTAAGGCAATAAATAATACTACTCAGGTATGATGAGTGCTTTGTTAATAGTTCTTCTATCTCTATAAAGCAGTTTGACACATTGTGATATCTTCAGTGAGCTACAAAGATACCTGAGGGAACCACAGAATACCATCAAAAGATTTTGAAAACCAAAACACAATGTGCAACATGAATCTTCATGTGTAGAAAGACAAACTCTGCGCCTGTGTTACAATCCAGTGTTGGTGCGTCTACTGTTGACAACAAAAGGCACAAATCACAAATATGCATATGTTGATGGGTGATCTTTGTAAAGCAGCGGAATCAGATGTCAGATGTTTCCTGGCAGACTCAAACTACGCCTCACAAATCTTGGCTCCACAGATAAACTCGCTGGTACATTTATTCACATTTGGATCTCGATCAACAAACAATATTCCTGGTATAGCACAGTTCCATTTGTCCAAAGATAGTATCTTTTGATGCTGATTATATTGTACCCTTTTATTTAGTCAAGTCTGGTGTATGTATGCCACAGGAGAGCAGGAAAGCCTGTTTGAAGCAGTTTATTTGAACTCTGGTGTGTAACCTCCTTCACTGGCCAACTAAAGGCCTTTTCACATATACAGTTATATATGTGTGGGGTGTGCAGTATGTGCTGGGTCTCTCTTTATACAATACACATATGCTATAGTATGTTGAAAGAGTTATGGTTCTTTGAAATTTACTCCTTTTCTCTATACTGGCTGGTAGGGCAGTGTATTGGCAAGTCTATGGCAATACGATACAATACAGGGGTTACAATTCAATATATTGTGATACTGCAATATATTGCAATTTCTTAAAATGTATATTTATCACAGTCCCTGCAACATCCAACATTATAACGATACAAATCCCAAAACAGTTATTGGTTTAAGAACTGAGGAACAAAACCCTGCAGTCTTCCATCTGCTCAAAAACACATTTAAGTTCAGCTGAAAATAAATCCAACAAATCCAGTAGGTATTTTCTACTTTGTTTTGTCCTGTCTTCAAGCCTACGTTCAACTACTACAACGTATCCCTCTGCCACAGCATTAAGCATTTTTGATCTGACTGACTCAGACTGCTGAAGCTTAATTTCAGCTTGGACTACATTACACAGAACAAGGACTGTGGAATCTGCACTACTCTCTTTCTTTGGAACCACTGCACAAAGGTTTCACTTCATGGCCAATATGAGCAAGAGGAAAGATTACAGAAACTCTTAACTCTTTCAATTTACATTTGGCAGCTGAGGATTGTTTTAATTAATATGAATAGTGACAATGAAACAATAACTCGAGTTTGAAATGTATTGACCAAACAACCACATTTCCAACTAGCTGTCTCCAGATTTTTGACTATTGTTGTCACATAGTGACAGAATCACATCTGGCTCTTATTTTGAAATAAAGAAGCACTCATATGATTGGCTGAGTGCTGAGCATGATGAGAATGCACTTCTGTGACTGGCTAACACGGCACTCTGGCTACAAGGAAATTTCTACTGCAGCTGCAGCGTTTTACTGTAACGACACTGAGCATTTTCTTTCTCTTCAATCACTAATGGTTATGTGGTTTTATTTATCTTAATATGTTTTTATATTTAAATTCAAATTTCTGAATGTTCTTGAGAATTACTCATTGATATATAAATATATGAGTGGCACAAAATGGTCTAAAAATTTCAATAATATCATTTATCGCAATTATTTGTATTATTTGGCAATATATAGACAAAACTAGTTATCACGACAGGCCTAATTCAATATTCTAATCTAGTCTAATCTAATCAAGTTTAATCTAATCTAATCTAATTAGCAGAAGTGTCCCTCGGCAGTTTTGAGAAGGACTTTTAGAATAGGAAACTCTTAGTTTGAAAACTCCTAATAGTAAGTAGGGATGGGACAATATTGCTTTATCGTGGTGAATTTCCATTATCGTGATAATCATCAATATCTTCTCATGGCTCGACCTGTAAAAGCTGTCTGTCTCTCCAGCACACAGACCTGAATTGATTTCCTGATTTATTTTGAACAAGGGGACAAGAGGGACATTCCAGTCATTCCAAAATCCTGATCCTGTCACCATCCTGAAGGCTCGGTTGTCTGTTGTATCCCCAGAATCCAAAATAAAGAACAGGGAGAAGAGGTTGTATCTGGGATACCATAAATATGTGTTTCTTAACAATATGTAAGGTAAAGTGATTCCAGTATGTTTTAGTGCCATTTTAAAAGTGTAAAGTACATTTTCATGATTGGCGTGTATTATGTAATTGCAATTACACGATTGGCCAAGATAGTTGGCACATAAAATGTTCATATTGTACCATGCCTGATGGTAAGATAAGACACTTAGTGATAGGCTATATTCATCTGCAATTTAAATGAATGATCACAGAGAGCCACACAGCCCCCTGCCCAGAATTAAGTCATTGTTTTCAATCTTACTGTTCTTTCACAGCCAAACACGTGGACCTGAAGATGCAGATGGAGACAACAACCCAGAGTTCAAATAAACTGTGAGAGATGATATCCTAACCAGTTGGACCAGAGAACAGAAAGGCACTGGTGTCACATGCACAGGTAGGAGCCTGATTATTGGTCACAGGTTTCTGTTTCTGGAGCTGCTGGTGTTTTTCATTAACCATTACAAGCTCTAGCTACAAACCTCTTTCTGCTGTAAGACTGTAGAGTACTGTAAAACTTCAGTTAATAGCCCAGCTTTGATTTGCTTCAATCACTAAACTCCTGTACTCCTACTCCTAGTTCCTATATTTGGAACAGGCATCTATATGGGACAGGCCCAGTATGAATATTATTTGTGAAAACAAGCATATGCGACAACATGATGCAGAAAGAAGATAAAATTTTGTTTATGTCTTTGTTTTAACGAAGTCAGCAGATACGAGGTCTATTTTACTCTAGATGGGAAATAATTTACTATATGAACATCATGCTGTATGGAAGAAGACTGAAACTGTTTACTGAGCTCATAAATCAAGCCAGAAGCAGAGTAATTTTCTCCATAAGACTGGTGTCATGGTATAGTTTTTTATTGGAGCCAATGGAGCTCCCCCTGCTGGCCTTTACATAGAATGCAGACACTTCCATGTTGGCTTCACTTCACAGACATGGAAGCTCTGTCCATTATAAACTGTCAATGCTTAGAACTGCTCAAGCGAGCGTACTGGTGGGCTTTAAGATGTGTTACACATCCAAAGAACTTTGATAAAAACCAGACCTGACGTCTAATTGAGACCAGTGTTCATTGGTCAAAACGTGTAGCCACACCCGGACAGTCAAAGGGATTTTGCATTTAATTGGGGCTCAGTGTTTAATTGAAGTTTTACAGTATAACTACTGTTCCACAGTAATAACACATATCACTCAAGGTACCCGGTACTGCCGGTACACAATACAGCATCGTACACTATAAACCTAAATTAATACAAAGTGTACTAATAGAGTGTTGTGGTCATGGTCCCGTAAGAGGGCTTCATTGTTAGCACTTACTTTTATTTCTGGTACCCCTTGCAGATGATGAAGAAAGTGTGTGCGGTTTAGGCGGAGAAACTAAAACTGTGACTTTGCACTGTAGTTATGAGGTATTCTGGCTTTGGTGATTTAACACCAACCATTTGGTTACATACAGGGTAGCACTGTTTCATTACAAAGAACAACAACAATACTTTAAAGCTAAATATTTTTTTGGCTTTTTAGTCTTTTGGTAGAAAAATAATATAGCTTGAGCTGAGCTAATAAGAGGGCTAACCAGCTATCAATGCTAACAGTTTGAGTTTAGATCAACATACAGTGAAGAAGAGCACAGTACAAGCACAGAGATGACATAACACTGGTTTCCTTAATCCATACTTATACATCAGTTCTGTTGTCGATTAGACATAAAGAGAACTGTTCAGTGGGAATTTACTGACAGCACGTTCCAGAGGTATGCAGTTATATGTCTGGAGTGTTTCAGACTCCTGGATAACTTGTGTTTCAGCCGCCTCTGCAGCTGAATCATGCATGATTTTTTTTACATGTCTGCATGTATTCCATGAGTGAATGTGCAGATTAGAAGAAATCCAAATTGCATATCGGGGAACTGGATTTCTGAAACACGTCCCTGGATGTCTACAGTGCATACAAATGTCTTTAGGACCAAGCTAAATTGATCAGAACCAAAACTCAAAATCTTAACCTTCAGAGATCCCTTGTGTTTGGGTTTAGACTGCAGAGAGTAAAGCAATAGAAAAATCCCAAAGACATCAGCACTTTTGTGTCTGTGTGGCTACAGACGTTTTGGTTACAATGTATGCGTGTGTGTGTGTGTGTGTGTGTGTGTGTGTGTGTGTGTGTGTGTGTGTGTGTGTGTGTGTGAGAGACACACCATGAGTGGTGTGTGATTGATTGTTACAAGCATAATGTGTTATTGGTCGTTTTCTCTATGATTTTGATTGATTTGCTTTCTGTATCAATTAGATAGCATATTTGGCCTGAAGCAAAAAAAACATCCAAACATGTGTGTCTGTGTGTGCACATTCATAGAATCCAGATTGGAATTTGAACATGGTTCTTGGTCCTCAGTTTGCAGGCCCTGGGTCTGCCAAAGGCATAGTGTGCAACACCTCATCCAGAAGCTGCAGAGCGCGGTGCAGATGGACCTCCACCCAGCATGGGGTGTGTTTGATGCTCTGCCGGGGATAGTCGGGGCCCCAGCCCTTCACAAAGCTGAGCCGCAGGATGCACAGTCGCCGCAGGTCATCCACGCCGATCCCCGCTGCTGCAGACAGACCTGTCAGCGGACAAGAGAGTGAATGAGAATGGTGCTCACTATCAGAGCTCTGCTTCGCTGCGGTGCAGTCATTCCTCGCCAAATCGCCCACTGTCTTAAGGAGTTGATTGACTGACAGCTGATCATTTCTATAGCAGCAATAAGGTTGATAAGGTCGAGCCCTTCAAAAAGGCACATGTCAAGTATGTTTATTTGTCATGTCATGTTTATTAGATGTGGAACACCATTTAGTTACATGTGGTTCATTTCACATCTGAAAAACTCATGTCAGCAGTTGTGATTTTCAGATATGACACAACAAAATGTCTCTTACAAAGATGACAATTCGATACAGGCTTTGGGGAAAGTGGGTTGGATAGGAGATTCAAAAGTGATGGGGGGAGGGTGGCACAATGAAGTAAAAAAAAAACAAATTAAAATAACAGAGTAAGTAATATAAATGTTATTTTACATCATCTCTAGCAGATTCATTACGACTATATTGATAATTGCTTATATTGCTTTTCATAATGTCAAGTCACATAGTAAAAGGTAAAAAACATAGTAAGTATAGAATGTACTAAAAGAACTGGCTCATACAAACTTATTACTTATTAAGTATGTGGAAACATACCAGGAAACTAGATGGTAATACAATCCAGGTATTAATACAGTTATTACCCAATAAGTACATGGAAATGTATTAGGAAACTAGATAGTAAAAATATCCTCATTAAAAAAGTTCCCACATACATGGTCATTAAATACTTTACTATTTACTATTACATGTATTATATACAGTGAAGCTGTGGGACTTTTGTCCTCCCTGAGTAGTCTCTGCAGGCTTCCTCACAAGCTACATTCAGCTCAAACAACCACCACTAAGAACATCAGCTTGTATGTTGTCTGAGAGGCAAAATCCATGGCAAAAGAAGTCCACAAATCACAGCTGCTTGTAAAGCTTAAATGCTACGAGAGCATGGTGGTAACTGAAGGCAATGCAGATGAACATTTAAACATTTTGATGAACTCAGAGCTTCTGAGAGGACCCTGTGGCTCAGTGGTCTTTTACATAACATTCATCATATTAAACTGAAATTGCACTTGTTTTCTCTTTTTTACTGTATCTGACATCTGTGTAGTCCGTTACCTGTATGAAGACAGTACACAGAGAGAACGACAAGAAATCCTACCTTGAACCTCAATGCTTCACTGTGTCCTTTGCATTTTAAATTGTCTTCCAACCTGCATAATAGTGAATGTGAAATGAACAAAGTCTCAACAGCACTTACTAACTGCCGGTGCGATGCCTCCGACGCTGCCCGGACCGGGAATATTTCCTGCCACAGCAGCTGCCTGTGCAGCAGCCGCCGCCTGAGCCGTCGCCGCCTGCTGCTGCATCTGTCTGTGACACTGCCGCAGGTCGAACACCTGACCGAGACACAGACAGTGTACATTACAACAGCAGCACACTACAAGTTTGAAAATAGAGAATATATATGTGAGTGTGTGTATGAAAATGTGTTTTATAACCACGTTTCCACCCACAAGTACCCAGAACTTCTAGTCCAATGCAGGAGCTACTTTTCAAGGAACTAAAAGGGTCTTTCAGGCTGTGTTTGCATTGTCTGCGTTCCCACTAAAGACCCACAAAGATTAGGCAAATTAGTCCACTAATGTATGAAAAAGCAACGGCTTCTTTTACACCTCATTTTTGCATGCAACTACACAACAGCATTGAACATTGTAGTCGGTCCATCTGTTGTACACTTTCTTCCGTAACTTCATTGATGTGTTGCAGCACAATGAACAACTAACTGGTTTGCGGCTGCAGATATTTCAAAATGGTGGCTGAAATAAAATGCTAAATAAAAATCTTGGTCCCCGCGGTGGAACCCCCAAGTCCCCCAAAGGCTCCTAGTCCCTGGGGCAAGTTCCTGTGGTTGAAACGCAGTTTTTGTGTGTGAGCTGGATTCAGACCTTGATGTAGGCTCCGGGGTAGATCTTGTGCACAGCGTCCCCCGGTGCTCGGCCTGCCTCCCTGTCGAGGTAGTAGCTCTGTACAAACACAGCGTGGTCGCTCATACAGCGCATCCACACGTCCCCCTCACCGCGACACTCCAGCTGCACGCCTTTACCTATGTGTAACCTGGCACACACAGGACAAAAACACCAGGATGAAGAGGAGGTGGAACAATCTGCTGCACCTCCCCTAATTTACTGAAAAACGGTTGCTGATTTTTGTGTTTTGAAAAGAAATTAGACCTAAGTAAGCGCTACCAACCATGTTGTGAGAGTCAAAGTGATTGTATGTAAGTATTTTTCAACTACTTCTCTTGTCCTCTTGTCTTGACAGTGAGAGGGCTAACAATGAGTAAGTCTGTGAATACATGTCAGAATTTATGAACACATAAATAAATACAATAATTAATGATGGTGTTCTTCTCTACTACTTGATCCAAAAGGTGTTTCACATTAAAAAGTCAGATGCTATCTGGAGCAGCAGAGGAGTGTTTGTCTTCACACACCTGGCTCTCTCGCTGGCATCTGTGCGGTGGACGTTACTCAGCTGGCCGAGGCAGAAGCGGTCCCCTCCTGAGGGGTCAACATAACCATCCACGGTTACTATGGGGCAGCTGGAGGGCACCTTGAACATCTCACCCACCTGAACGTCCATTTCAAAGTAAGAGATAGAGCACCAAAACTCTGGTCCTGCAATGGGAACAGAGCAAACTGTGTGATTTAATGCAGCATTACTGTGAAAAACACAGCGTATTTATCGAACAGACCCTGGAGTGGCAGGTCTCATGTAAAGGAACAAGTGAAATAGCAAGTGTTTCCAGGGTGTGACTCTCTCCTCATTGCATATACATTTAAAGGGATAGTTTGGGGTTTGTGAAGTGGGGTTGTATGAAGTACCTATCCACAGTCAGTGTGTTACCTCCTGTAGACGAAGGTCAATGCACCCCCAGTTTGGAGAAGCAGACAGGAGTCCTCACATTTTCAGTGTTCTGACAGTAGTAAATGAGAGATAATCTGTGATAAAGTCAGGTTCCTCTGACTCGTTCTAGATCCAGTGTTTGGTGTGTCTGTTCTGGGCTACTGCAGAAATATGGCACTTCAACATGGTGGACTCCATAGTGCACAAACTCTACCATCCCCATTTTCTACAGTAATGTCAACCCACTGTCAACGTAGGCAACCAGGATGCAAATACTGAAGAAACTGTGACACTGTGTGAATACTGTGAGCTCATATTCACGAAGCCCTGTGCAGCCCCACACTTCCAAACACATATAAGTCATTCTTATGACAATACAAAGCAATGCCAGTCCAAAAACAAAGCAGGAAATCAGTGGCAACATTATCAGTTAAATGTCTTGATAGTCATAACACAGTTAAGATCACTTGTGACAGTGTAATCTAACCTGGGTGATTGGACACAGAAGGAGGGAAAGAGGTTGGGCCATGATGCTGAGACCCTGAAAACCACAGAGAGTATGAGAGGATTAGTCCGAAGCAAAACAAAACTGAAGCAGTACTTTGTGATTTAAATGAATGTGGCATATTTCTCTCAAAATCACTCACTGGGACAAACAAAGTGGACTTATTGAGAGCCACACATAGAGTGTATCTATTTATACCACAGCAATCCCACATTTATACAGCCATTATACAGAATTCATGATCAAAGTTATTTTATGATAACATAGTGAGTTAAATTTTCATGAGATCATTAAGTCTGACAATGAGAGAATGAAAGTGAATATTGTGGGATTCCTTTGTTCAGAAGAGACGGTGGTTTTGAAGCGTAACTTACAGTGGTGGTTTGGATGATGCAGGGGAGGTTGTTGGTGACCACGCCCGTTCTGCTGGGGTCCTATGGGAGTGTAAGAGGCTGTGCTGCTGCCTGTCCAAACTGCTAAATTACAGGAAAATGAAGAATGATCAGTGTGACCAAATGCAGTGTTCGTCAAATGCTCTGCAATCCCTCAGTATACTATTGCTCATCCTTTAACCACATGAAAACACACCAAACATTTAGTGTCTCTTTATACAGGAAACAAAAGCCTACTCCTTGTGCTGGGGGTATCAAATATTTATGAGTCACTATTCAGTGAAGCCATAGACTGCCAGGGGCAGTTATGTACTGACAGGATTACCCCTCATTTCAGAAATTGTATGTAAATATACATACCAAACCTTCTAATGTCCAATATTTACTTACTTAAAAGTAACCAAAATGTCTTCTTATCTTAGTGTGATTTTTTTTTAAGGTCAAGTCCATTTTGCAGAAAAAAACTTCTGACATTTGACATGGTACTGAATATTAACAAAGATTAAATTTTACTCAATAACTTTGTATATTATGAAATGAATTCAGCTCAATTTTGATCACTGGCTATAAGATGCAATTGTCTCCAGATAAATCAATTTAAAACAGTGAGCTCTAGGAATAACTCATAAGCCAGTTTTTCAGTTTTAAGCCGCATTTTTACTATTCACTGTTTAGATCTTGGTGGTTTTTAACTCCATATTTAATTGGGCTCTCAGTAGAAACATTCTAAACGATGAACACTGAAGGAATCCTAACCAGGAGAAGCTGACTGCAATGACATCAATGTAAGTGAAGAACTCCCATGACCCCAAGCTACCTCACCAAGACACCATACTTCGTCTTTTGTTTTTATGTGAGAGGCCCTTAGTGGCAGAAACTACATACTTTACATTTAAATCTATTTGTCTTTCACACAACTTATACTATTGGCTTACTAAAAAGTAAATCTGTCAATGATTATTTGTTGTCCCTGTTTATGAGAAAGAATAATTTAGTCTAGAAAAATAGAAAAACCTGTAAAATCTGATGCAGTCCAGCAATGCAGCTCTGCATAAAATGCTGTTTTTATGAAGATGATCTTATTCAGTTGAGAGTGTTGAGTTAAGTCTATGTTTGAAAGGATGTAAAAATATACAATTCATAACCTATTAGGTAATATCTTAGTTCATAGCTATGCTTTTCATTATGAATTATTATGCGTTATTAGGCAGTTGTTTAAGTTCCCCCTCCCCTGGAAAGCAAAACAAAACACTGATACTTAAGTGTACCCATGTATGTACCTATGTGTGTGTGAACTCACTGTGGAAGGCCGCCTGGCTCTGGGAGTGTTTATTGCTGCTGTATCCGTTCTGTCCGTGCGAGTGAGAAGGAGGTAGGGACGGTTGCTGTGGGTGGGGGGGTTGTGAGGGTTGCTGGGCAGCCTGTTGCTGAGTAGTGGTTTGGGTTGGGGTCGGAGGTCGCGGTGCCGGCGTCATGACTTGAGCCTGCGGAGATGCGGTTTGGAGACGGCCATCCCCGTGAGCGCCCTGCAGTGGCAGCATGGCGCCAGAGGCGGACACTGGAAGCATAATGGAGGAAAACATCAGGCCTGACTTGTGTTTGAAAGCCCAAATTCATATTAAGTAGCTCATTACTCATCTGAGTCCCGAGGGCTTTCACCAACCATAATGAACACAAACATCAGAAGAACTGACCTTTGGGTGAGACAGGCAGGTTAGTGTATCTGGTGACAGGTGGGGGTCCGTGGGGTTCAGAAGACAGTTGCGGGGGAGGCAAGGGCTGGCCGTAGTGGTCTGGAGGAGGCAGCTTCAGGGCCGCTTGGTGGTCAGACAGGGGCATGCCAGGTGGGAGGTCCATCTGTATACAGTCATGGATGTATTCTTCTTTGATCAGGCCGCCTGGTGCTGCAGCAGGAGGCAGAAGGAGGCGAGGTCAGGAGGAAGAATCACTACGGTGTGTTGCATCTAAAAGCTCCATGACAGTGATATTAGTGTGGGACACAGAGTTGATACCAAACTAAATCAGACCATCAGAGAATGGCAATACAAACAGGCAGCCCCTGGATATCTTTCTCAATTAGCATTTAAACTGTTAAATAAGGAAGTGAGGACCTGAGCATGTTTGTCTTTGTTTAACACTTACTTAACATGCATGGAATCTGTTTTTTGAGAACAATCTGAGCTACAGGTCTGACTTATCATTTTGTAACTATAAAGCTGCCAGAAACCCAAAAAGAAAGAAAAATGACAAAGGTGCCTATAAAAATGTACAAATATCACGTTCACCACGGGCTGCACAATTAATCCAACATTAATCGCAATCACGATTTCTGCTGCCCACAGTGGAATGAACGTGATCATCTACAATACTGACGTTTCAAATGCAGCTCACAGAAAACTGCTGCATATCAAATCAAGCGCTTCCTAAACTGCCAGACACCATGGGTGATCAAGATGTTCAAGTTTCACTTTCGGGAGATGTCCTGATGCTGCTTGTTCTACCTTGCAGCTGTAGCTGGATACTTTTATTCCTGGAAAAAAATGTCCTACTCCTGCAGCTTTGAAGAATAAATGCTGTGTAATCGTGAAATAATTGAGATCTCAATTCTGATCAAAATAATTGATAATGATAATAATTTTTGCCATAATCGTGCAGCCCTACATCCATCCCTCTCCTCAACCTGCAGATGTTGCGTTGACTCTGATTTCATTCACATGCTGTACGTAATGTCCTTCTTAATTTATGGTTTATTAAACATTTTTGTTTAAATGTTAACTTCTTTGTGCATAAATTATTATACTATTTCATAAACTCTGTGCTACTGTAGTCTTTGTGTTATGACAGCATTCAGTTTGCTTTTGTTGCTCCCTTCAGCTTGTGCATGCTCTCTTAACAGCATGAAAGTCCTGGCAATAACTGTTGCACAGGACGGTCAACATATTGGACAGTTTAATCACATGGTAACTGGGTATTGTAGTGGTACCACTGTGGTGCTGTAGAATGGAACTCACCAGTGTTTTGAAGGCTGAGACCAACTGCCAAAGAAGACAGAGAGAAGATGAAATTAGACATTATACAGAATATGAAGCATCAGTGACATCCTCTCTTCAACAGGTTGAGATTATAAAGTTTGTTGCTTACAAATATTCCTGAAAACCTGTTATGTCCTAATCAGAGCAGCTGAAGTGTGAAGCTGACCTACCGATGCCTGGTGACACCACCCTCTCATAATGGTAGGGGTTGACGCACACATTGTCGTACTTCAGGTCAAAGGCGTACTGGCAGAACTTGACATGCTTGAGTTCATTTTTGTGGAGGTCGGGCCAGCGCCACAGCCGTGCATAAATCACATGAGGGAAACCTTTCCTCCCCGCCACCTGAGGAGAGAGCACAGCATTGTTACACTTCCTCCATGCTCACTCAATTGGCTCTTTTTAAAGCTACTTCATCCTCGCTCCATTTGTGTTCTATTTGTCTTACCTCTTATCCGTCAGTGGATTGTGTTTTTGCATGATATCACAGATGTCTGAATGACAAAACAGCTAACACAATTACAATCTCTTTTAACCAAACCCAAACAAACCCTACCAAAAATATCAGGCTAACTCATCTCTGATGATAATAATAAAAAATAAATGATAATCTGCTCAAAGTTCATCCAAATCGCTCACTTACATAAACTTCCTGCAGTTATTGTGTTCACTGTCTGCGTTCGTTTTACAGTTCATCAGTTGTTCTCTACTGTTATTGTTATGCATTGAATATAATATAAAATATCCATAAAATATGTCACTTAGTCAGTTTACTCAATGATAGAAAAGGAGTCCTTTCAAGTAAAAGGTTGGAAACCACTGCTTTAGTATATATATATATATATATATATATATATATATATATATATATAACAGTCATAAACAAACTAAATCTATAAATTCCTAACTGTATAATATGAAGGTGAAAGTAAGTGACATTAAATACTGAACAGAAATCATGCACAGCATCATGCACAGAAGGTAGAAAATAGACTAGTAGTGAAAGGGGTGATACAAAGTTAATGTATTGGTTTGAAAGTTGAAAGTAACCCTGCATATCAGAGGTAGTCTTACCTGCAGCCGTCCGTCCAGTGTCCTCTGGATGGTGACACACTTGCTGGGATGGACTCCATTGGTGGTGATGGCAGTGATGAGCGAGTCCAGCTCGTCCTTCTTCTCCTTCAGCTTCTTCACCAGGCTCTCAATGGCCCGCTTGGCGAAGCCCTCGTTCTCTCCGCCCTGCCGGTGGCACATGAGGCTGTGAACGATGCTGAGGCAGGCATCATTGCTGCTTGGAGGGTTCACCGACATGATGCTGCTGCCACAGGACACAAGAGGAAGCCTTGTTATTCTTAATGAACACATATTTTTCACTCTGGTCAACTCATACTGGCCCTTGATTGATACTCTGGTATAAGAGTCTGAGCAACAAACACCGTTCTGGATGATCTCATTTGCTGGTGGAAATGTGGAAAGGTTTTCTGGGAAAATTGGCAATGTTTCCACAAAATGCATTTGTGCATCCCAGAACCTGCAGGTGCCCAGTTATCTCACCATACACATTTATTCATTGCAAACCAAAACTGACTATATTACTGCATCATAGAAACTTTTCAAATGATCATTATGCTTTCACTATATCCTCTAACACCTCTTGGGTACACAAAAGGACAATGAAATTACTTCACCTTTTTTAGGGACACACCGATTTATTGGCTGAACATCAGTATTGACTGATATACGTATTTACCAATGTCAGTGGCCGATGTTAATCTGTTGTGTCACATCAGTTTTGGACCATTTTTTTCCAACCTCAGTTTTCCAGCACTGGCACAAATTACACACAAATACCGGTGCAGCCGCACGGACAGTGAGCTGTTGTTCAGCTCTGCGTCTCACACCTTGGATCAGAAGAGAAACGGACTGAGGCAGAGACGCTTATGTTTGTAGATTTCTTTTTGTCCCTGGCACAACAGGGCGAATTAATAACAACATAAACACCTGAATTAGCACCAGCTATCTGACAAATTGTTATTTTAAACAGTGATATCGGCCACAAATCTCCCAATCAGTGCATTTAGTACTTAATAATACCAATACAGTTCTAACAATGACATTGAAAACATGTTTTATTTTCAGGAGATGTTCCTAACTTTCTGACTGTAACAAATTAAATGTTGCTAATGTTGCTGTAATTGTTGGACACTTTGTCCTTTGTCAACATCTGACATTGTAACAGAAACTAAGGAAAAGCATAATAGGTCTCCTTTAAATAACAAGTTGTTCCTTCATTTTCCAACTTTGGATTCCCAATTGAATGTGAAAAGAACAAATGATACATGGATTGTTGCTGCCTGTAGTCATATTACAGGTCACTCATGTCAAATTCAAATTCAAGTTTGATGAACAGGAGCCAAACTTGCCCACAGAAATCAGATATCAATTAATTTCCTAATTGTTCTAATAATCTGTTTGTTCAGGTAATCAGTTTAATGCATGTTACTCTTTATCGCCACAACAAAAAATGTTTACCACCAAACTGAGAGTTGCAAACAGCATGACTTTAGAAAATCCACCAGAGCATATAGTCATACTCTGTTACCATGTCTCCTCAACACACTGAGAAGAGACACACCCTGCAAACACTGGAGACCCCTCCAGCGTCTGTACGATAAATACAATATTTGTGTTTTGGGGCACAATGTATCACATCTGCACCTGAAAAACAGGCTCAGTAAATCTGATGACAAAGGGGATAATACAGTCAAGCAAGACACTGATTTATTTCATGTAGAGGTTTTACTTGCTTGTACAGCACTGCTGACCTTCTCACAAGGACTGCAGTTGCAGTATAAGGCAAACCAGCATTCAAACAAAGCCCTTGAGATTATACTTTGGATGGTAAATGGTACTTTATATTTTGTCTGGGATGTTCCGGTGCATTAGGGCAGGTAGAAAACAAATCAAACATGCAACCAGTCTAGTGCACACACTGACAAAAAACCTGCTGGGTTAACTTTATCCAGTACCAATGGGGTGGTTTCTACCCACTGTTGTGCTATATTGACCCCACACTGCGCCAATTTCAACCAACTTCACTACTACAGGTTTGTTTTACAAGTAACCGGTTTACAGATACATTTTTAAAAAGCTAGTTTAAGTTAAATTGTCATCAGATGATTTCTGATGGACTGCATTTTGGCCAGTGGGTCTGCCTTGTTTCCTCTTCACACAAACTGTTTACCTGCATGCAACCAAAGGTCGCTCTAACATGATTGGTCGATACTACTTTAAGGTTCTGTTTAAGACTTAGTCAGACCTTAAGACCAGACCTTTAAGATCACTATGAATGCAATTTAAGACAAAGATAAAATGTACAAATGCTATGAAGGAAAATCAGTCGGTCAGTTTCGTTTTGTAGTTGTACAGCATAAGCAATACAATTTGCCCGAAAACCCATTCAAAAGTGGGACTGAAAAATGCAACTTTATACAAGTAGCATATTTTAAGACCTGTTAATAATTATATAATAATAATTAATAAGATTTATGGTGTAGGAGCCATCAATTTGTTCTGTGTTGCTCCGAGCTAAAGGGGGTGTGCTGCGTTGCATTGTGTTGTAAAGACTGAGGCTGGCCTCAGGTGATTTAAGTTCCTGTCATTTATGTCTCAGGTGTTGTTAAATTGGGAAGATGAGCAAATAAGTTTTGGACAGTTTAGATTACGTTGCTGTAATTTCGTTTTTATTGTTTTTGTGTTACTCTGGAGGACACATGTAAATATCAGTTTTAATTTGCTGAGTATTGGTAAAGACTGGACATTGCTTTTCTGAGTAAATGTTAGAAACTATTAGCTCAATTAGCAGCCAGTAGCTGCTACACTATAAGACACAGTCGCTACAAATGGACTTGGACTACAAACTGAGACATGAATGCTTCTGATAGCAAAATCTTGTCAATTGCCTACAGATTCTGTTCGCACAAATTAATGCATTTCACTCAGTCGGATGTTACATCCCACTCAGGACACATTTAAGTTTAAAAGTCCCGTTTTCGGTCTGATTTTCAAGTTTAGATTGCTCATCAATCTCAGTTTGTAAGCCAACACGCACGAGAAGTCCTAAAAATGCTCAGAAGAATTGAAATATGAACATGTATTAATCCATGACAGTGGACAACTCCATCTGCTGAGGAAGACCATGGTATGAGGTGAGACTGTTGTATCAACTGTTCACAGCATGTCCATCCATCCATCCATCTATCTGGCAACATTATACTCGTCTTATCTTATCTTGGTGAATATTGTATGTCAGTTTCACTGACCATTAGTTGATTGAGTGGCCAACCAGTCAACAGCAACATCAAATATATGATACAACAATTATCTAGTTAGACTACAGTTACTACAGAAACTCATGTTCACAGTTTTAAACCACAGCAAAGCAGGGTCACACCCATGTTCAACCCTGGTTGGGAACAGGGTTGTGGTCCCAGTACACCTAAAGTAGATTCACCCATTCAGAAGGCTTGCTGTGTTGGTATATAAGGCATGTTAGCCACCTTGCTCTTAGTTCTGGTAATTTGACATTATTAAAGTCAATGAGAGCCACTTGGTGTTGCTGTCATACATGTTTGCTGTCTTGCTTACCTGGTATTAAGTTGGTCAGCCAATGAGTGACCAGAAAGTTCACTGGCATCATGATGGCCCAGCTCTGAATCAGTCCCTGTTAGTAGAGCGGGGAGACCAGGAATTAGTGGATGCCAGTTAAGTGTGCAAATCCAACCCCCAATCCCGTGCTAAACCCGTAGAAGTTCTAACCCCACAGTAATCCATTCCAAGTAAAACTCTCATTGAAAGTGTTAACTTGTGAGAGACAAATTAATGACAGAATGGTCAAAATCAAAGCAGCGGTACAAGCCAAGCTCCAAAAACACAGACTCCTGCCATATCTCATATTCAGGGTTCCCACTGTTTGTAACAAATTATTTCCAAGGACATTTTCCAGGAGGTAGTAGGGCTGCACGATATAGTAAAAACGTCATACCATATTGGCCTATCGCAGACATATGTGTATCATATCAGTATTGGCATATATGTTATCCAATATGCACTGATATGAAAGCAGTTTTTTTCTGTTATATAATGTGGTTGTGGTAAAATTTGGTCACTGCAAAGTTTATCCAGCAGAGTGCCAAAATACTGTGGCAAGCAGCAAAGAGAGAAGGAGCCAGGATCGGTCTCAAAAACCAGGGGGCCGACCCATATCAGTACCGACACATATAAACTTGAAGCCACCAGTGCACATACACAGAGAATGGACTTTACAGTGAAGGAGGAGACATCTTGTGTCCAGCAGGAAAACTTCAGAAATGAACAACATTTACATATTCAGAGATTATTAAAATCTTAAGGAGTAGATTCCTTTTTACGGATTTTCATGTGGAAATTCTAGTTTTTTGGTTTTTTTTTGCAAGAAACATTATTGTTCCAAGCATATTTGTATAAATGTCTTAATGCATGTTTGGAGGGCATCTTTAAGCAAAAGGGAATATTTACTGGCTGTCTTAGTCTTCTATGACAGTTATTGCATTTTCTTTGGGTTTTGGACGGTTGGTCAGACAAAACAAGAGATTGAAAGACATCACCTTGGGCTCTGATGACTTGTGATGGACATTTATTTTCAGACATTTTTAAGATTAAATGGCTCATCAAAAAAAGAAGTGGCAGTTTAATTGATACTAAAAATAATCATTGTAGGCATCCCTATAACTAACTAGTACCTACAGTCAACTAAATGTAGTGGAGTAAAAATTGTAAATCTATGATCTGAAATATAGTGGAGCGATTTTCAAGTACACAAGAAAATTGTGGCATAAAATGGAAAAAGTCAAGTTATTCAAAACTCTACACAGTATGTGAAGAAAATGTGCTACATAGCTACATAGATTAAAGCCTCATTACATGTACCATACATGCACATTTGAAGATTTAAAGCTGCAGTAAGTAACTTTTATAGAAAAACTATTTGCTAAAACTTTCACTATATCCTGACAGTAGTACATTAGACATATAATCTGTCTGGCTCCTCCTAGTGCTCCTAATGGCATTTGCAAGAATTCACTGGACGTTACCCATGGACAGTATATATAATAGACAGAGCTTCCAGGTCAGTGAAGGGAAGCCAACGCTGAAGTGTCTTAAACCTGCATTCTATGTAAAGACCAGCAGGGGGGGCACCACTGGCTGCAATAACAAACTATACCATGCAGTCTTATGGTGAAATGAGCCAACTTCTGACTTGATTTCAAGTCTTCTTCCATACAGCATGATGTTCATTTAGTAAATGATGTTCCCATTTAGAGTAAAATAGACCATAAAGCAGGGTATGCTTTAGGGCTTGTCTACCTTATGATTGACAGGTCATTCTCAGTGAGTCTGTCCAGCTCAACACACCAAACTCAGATCAAACTGTCAAACTAGGCAGTGCTGATCAGATATGGATCCAGATTCTGTTCTGCATTTCCTATTTCTCTATTGTGTGTGAACAGGCTCTGGACTAGTCAAAACTATGCAGCCAATGAGAGCAGCTCAACTCACAGTATGTCACCTCAGCTGGCTCCGACAAACTGTCATGGCGACGCCAAACTTGAGGCTTCAAAACGGCACTCCACAAACCAATGGGTGATGTCACGATAGGTTCAGACTTGGCCTGAAAGAAAACAACCAATCAGAGCTGAGAAAGATAGTTGATTGTTGAGTCTCATTCCCAAGGCACCAAATACAGATGCTTTGGGACCCTGGGAATGAGACTCAACAATCAACTATCTTTCTCAGCTCTGATTGGTTGTTTTCTTTCAGGCCCCATGGATTCTTGCAAATACCATTAGGAGCACTAGGAGGAGCCAGAGGAACCTGATGGTTTCACAGATTGTCTGTCTCATGTTCTACTTTCAGAACACAGTGAAGATTTCAGCAGTAATGTCAAAAAGTTATTTTCATAAAAGTTACCTACTGCAGCTTTAAGCTTTCTCTAGGTGCCTTTAATAGTGAAATTACCACCAAAAACCCTGCCTGTACAGGGAGATCCGCAAATGGTAATTTTGAATCATGCATGGTCAATTATTATAGCACAGTCACAGGTAACTGCTACATACATCCCCTCCCAAACACACACACACACACACACACACACACACCACACCTTCCATCCATGTCTCCTCATACACATGCTGCTCATCATACAGGCCCCAACGTCTGAAACCAATCTGATACCCAGAGGGCACTTCAAATGAAAACTTCCGTCACTGTGATTTGTCTGGGCAAACAAACCCAGACTGACTGTTACCTATCCGCCTCACACAACCTGAGCAGCTTCCAGGCCATACATTCACTTCATTGACATCCCATATTGGTAAACGTGCGTCACGAAGTCCGCTGCCTCAACACGCTCGAGACCCAGCTCATCAATAACTAAACACACACAGGACACAAAATGACTCTCAATGCGGACGATTGTATCTGACTGCCTCAAGTCTAACGAATAGAAGGGAATATGAGCAACTGGCTGGACTCGAGTACGCACAATATCGGCCGGTGTGAACAGTAACATTGGGAGACAGCAGAACAGTATCTGTTGCGGGTAAAAGCAGGTTACAGTAAGCAACAATTTAACGTTAGCAAGCTAATGTGACTGACTTCCCCCTAATTTTCTCATTTTGTTTTTGGTCTGGTTGCGAGAGCAGGAGTGAGAAAGGATTGAGATAAATTCTACTTACACATCAGCCGGAGTGGAGAGGAGAACTTGGACAGAAAGACTGCTGAGCTATCCGACAATTGCCTGAAGTGTTGTACTCAGATAGCTCTACGTGTTGGTGGTATTTGTGTTTATAACGCTTTGTATTAGCCCCGTGCTGTCTTCATAGGCGCTACGTTTTTGTGAATTCCCGTAATGTAGTGAGCTAACGTTTATTTCTCATATGTAGCGTTGCGCTAGCTTGATGTTTCTCAGTTGTTTTATCCTTTTATCAGCCCCACTGTCTCCTCGTGCATCCTGTCCGTTCCTCTCGCGCACACCACAATAACAATAGAGGGGAGACGTCGTGCGCGTCAGTGTCTCGACATGCTCTAGCCAATGGGCGCACGGGTCTCACAGGGGCCGCCGCTCTCGGCCAATCAGGTAGCGGTTCTCACAGCAGGGCCGCGAGCCAGGGTCTGTCTGGTTCGCCCAGATTGACAGGTCCGCGAGACTGTTTTTTTAAGGTGGCGCCGCTGAGATTAGCGCTCCCCCCAACACACACACACACACACACACACAACTGCAACTGTTATTTGAGCAACACTCGACTCTCTTCCATGGTCAGAGTTAACATGCTTAAGAAAACTATTACTGGTTCAGTGTTTTACCCACCAGTTCACGGTGACCCCTCGTCCTCAATTAAAGTGTTAATGGAATAAATGTATTAGTTCATCCTTACGTAATTTACAAATTTGAGACGAACGAGGACTTTTGCTTTGCCTTCCCTCAGGTTGTGTGGTTTAACCAGTGGTGTAGTGGTGGCCAGAGAAGTGGGTATATCCTAAATTTATGTCCCATTTTTTAAAAGCAGCCCACCAAGCAAAGGATAATCGATCTGTGTTATAAACAGTGACATCTAAGACTATCCATGCATATATTAGCTCACCCAAAAATGGGCCATAAGTATATTTGTAACACATTAGCCCATTATCCAGCCCCTCCAGGAAGTTACAATGTTTGTATAGCACCAATTCACAACAGAAGTTTTCTCAGGACACTTTCCAAATAGAGCAGGACCTGTCTAGACCGAACTCCTTATACAGATATTTACAGAGACCCAACAGTTCCCACCATGAGCAAGCACTTGGTGACAGTAGCAAGGACAGACGTCCTTTTAAGAGGCAATGTCGCAATCCCAACAATCAATACAAATTCAACCAATGCTTATGAATTATGCGTGACCTTGCAGTTTTGTCCAATCGCCACCACCACTTTTCCACAAATTTGACCATCAGTGTACCTTCCCACAAGTTCCACCAATCATAGCAATCCCCCATGCAAAACGTTGAGCCATACGTCACCAAACTTATAGCAATTTTATTCTTGCTTTAATAATTTGCCTTAGATTCGGAACTATTTTTGCATTTGTTACATTCTCCCTCAATTTCATTGCAATACATAGCAACATGCATCAGAATATTTTTAGAAAAGCCGCCCGTGAAATCAGGCAATTTAGGCCAAGAAATCCTGGAGGGACTGTCAACTTGTGCTGTTTGACTTCAGGCAGTAAGGATCATTATGAAACCAACATTAGCTACAAAAGAGGTGCAGATTTTGCATCAATACTGGCTCACAGACAGGTGAGACCATAGATGCATTTTGAAGCATAGCGAAGTATTCCTTATTCCATACTCCATAAAGTTGGACAACTATGTAATGCCTTCGCCATCCTAGGAAAAAAATAAATCCGCTTACAGAACACTACTGAATGAGAAGGGGTGAGGGTGGCATTAAGTATGTGACTCAGCTTTCCAGTCATTCCCAATTTATGCAATTTCAATACTGTTTGCAAAGAGGTGACTCATGGGTATTTTCATTCAAATATTTTGAAGTCAAAGGTCGAGGGATCCCTTTGAATATGGCCATGATAGTTTTTCCATCACAAAATTTAGCCCAACTTTGGACCATCCTGACCTGCTAGCATGGGAAGTTTAGTACCAATGAATGTGTTAGATCATATAGTTTCACACAGGACACACCCCTGGTGGTTTCCCTGCCCCGAGTCCATAAGACTGTGAACTAATAAGTAAATATTTCCTTTGACCGACACTGTGGACTATGACTAGATATTTAACTGACTTACAGTTTTGAAATGTGGATATACAGATCGTCTAGAGAAAAGATTATGGTGATCATTAGAAAAATGCCAAAACCTTGAAGACAAAGAATCTCTCATTACATAATGGCCAGATAATAGCTATTTACTTTGCAGTCTGTTATTTCCCAGAAATAACGTTGTAATTTAATAATAATTATAGGTAAAATAGAGACAGTGCTCCATTGGTCCTGATCCAAAGTCCTGAAGTATTTCAGTCAGCAGCTTAACTGAACATGGGAAAATGTGTGATTTGCCTACAGGCGAGCATAAAATATGTATGGAGAATTTACTCTCCATTAAAAAAAGAAAAATCTGGTAAAACCCAGGAATTACCACAACCATGAAATGATGCTCTACCAGCCAGACTGCCATGAAGTTTGCTGAGCAACACAACACATTCAAATTGTGGGGTACAATTAACATTACAGGCTTTGCCTTAATTTCATCAGTAGGTTGACAAATGAGTCTTTTAAGAAACAATTTATACACAAGCTCAAAAACATGAGCACAGATGTTAATGTATATTTTATAAACATTCATAAAGAAGCAATATCATACAAAAACTGAAAATCACAAGTGTTATAGGGATTCATTCATTGCATATTAAGAGAGACACGACACTGTACACATCATCGAATATTAAACCAATTGAATATAATTATGCTTTGTGTTGATTTGCTCACATAACACATTTATGTCAGCAGAGCTTTACAGAAAACTCAGAGTGGAACATGTTACTTACTTATTAAAGAAAAAGAGCCAGCCAAGTTTAAGACCGGTTCAAACCTGTGTTGCCTGGATCAGAAGATCATTTAAATCCCACTGCCATGTCCTCAGAAGATGTGTGGTTTAGTCTGAACCAGGTCCTGTGTGCGGTAGAAATCACCCAAACTCCTGTAGAGGTCAGTGTGTCTAAGGTTTAACTTAAACCTGCCCAGGGGCGGGTCTAGAGAAATATTTATGGGGTGTTCAGAGGCTGGCATAGGAGACTTTAAGGGGTGGCAGAAATATATGCTGACTTAATCAATATTTTAAGCAATATTTGCTTGGAAAAGCCCCCAAATGAAGATATGAAAAACATTACATTATTGTGGCACATTAGTAAAGCACTGAATATGAATATCTAAAGGTGACATTAAAAATCAATAGACTGCTTTATTTCCAAACATTTCTCCCTAATATGCATTTTTTCATTGGACTTAAGCCCATCACATCCAGAATGTGGCCATAACAGATCATTAAGGGTGAGAATCTCCTTAACTGTGCCTCACTAACTGCATTTACCTGTACTGACTAATTGTACATCAAAGTGGAAACGTCAACAACAGTGGAAACATTGCAGAACACGATTCCAATCACAATGACATCAGTAATATTGCAGCAGCACAGATGGGATAATAATTATATTACCCCAGTGCATGCTGGTTAGCAGTCAAACATTGCAGTGTGTTTCCACCAAAGGTTCATAAACTGGTTCTGTTCATTTTTTTAAACGTGCTCCGAGCGTTTAAAAATTAGGTGCACAAACCAGAACGGAACGCCTTTCATGTTGGTGGGAAACCAGTGCACTCATGGATGTATTAAGCTCTCATAATACATCCATGTGTGTACTACATAATGATAACATTGTTGTGTTGGTTTTGACGCAGCAATTAGGTCCAGTTTAGAATGCAGCTGTGTTTTAAACTCTTTGTAAACCGCAGCTAAACTGAGCCACTCATTTGTGGACAACAATTTCCCAAAGCCAGAGAGCAGAAGGCATAAAGACCACCTGACATTTTAAAGACATGCATTTTAGGACAATGCTTCTAGCAGTGGAACAAGGATCTGTTATTCTGGTCCATAAGATTACTCAGACCATCTATCCTGCATGCTGAGTGACATTACAGTGCTAGTCATGAGTACATTTTTTTTCCTTATCTGCAGAATCGATGTATATGAATTATTACATAAATGTCACTCAGAGCTCAGGAACACTCGATGAGAAGAAAAATAAATGTGGATGGTCATTACGTTTAGGTGGCTATGAGTGTTTAATGTACAATGTAAGGTGATGCTGTAGAGTTGATTCTGTCATACTTTGCCAGAGGATAAGACAATAACCTATTTGCAGCTGCCTAACACTGTACATAGCAGCTTGGATTTTAATGATGACACAACATTAGACAAAGCAGTTCCAGACACCAGCATATCGTTAGACAAACCGCTAAGCAAATGGCAAAGGAAGACCAGTCCTCTTCGTGTTACGGTTACCCTCCAGGACAGTTCACAGTTTTGCTGTGCAGATGAGAAGGAGGCAGCAGCTCAGGGTTTACTGGGGGAGCGAGAGGTGAACACTCCCGAAGCCTCCAGCATGGTCTTTCTTCTTGCCGTCTCTTTGGCCACATTGTGGTTGAGTCTCCTCAGACGTTCCTGGAGACAGGATATTTAGGTTATGTTGCAGCTTGCATATTGTTTTTTAGCTTGTGTGTTTCTCTGTTTTTAAACTTAAACAGTTTGTAATTATGGTGGTGATACTAACCATCATAGCAGTATAGTGGTAATATATGTGGTAATACTATTTTTAGCGGTAGTAATGTCAGTGGTGGTAGTAGTAGTTATAATAGTAGCAGTGAATAGTAGTAAAGGTAGCAGTATAAGCAGCACCACCAGCTGTGTAGAATATAGCATATTAAAGACTATAGTATAGATTATAATAGTGAAGAACCCATCCAGACATGTATTAAAGCTGCAGATGGTAAAAATCAGGTTCCTCTGGCTCTTCCTTATTTTCATAAAGTAACCTACTGCAGCTTTAAAAGATAGATAAAGTCTGCTTGGAACAATAATGTGTGTGATGTTTTTCTGCAAAAAAGTATAATTTCCACATCAAATTACTTAAAAAGTTATCTCCTCCCCCTACCTCAATAAAACTTCTAGAATCTATGAATATGTAAATGTTGTTCATTTCTAAAGTTTTGCTGCTGGACACAAGATGTCTCCTCCGTCACTGTAAAGTCCATTCTCAGTGGATGTGCACCGGTGGCTTCAAGTTTCTACATCACACTGTACAAGTTGATACTGGACCAGAAAGGCAGGCAAACATTTGGAGTTGTCCACCAGATATATGCACCAGAGGTCCAATATTCAGTTTTAAAATAGCTGGGTCTTTAGCTGCTAAATGCTTCACTGTGTTCACTGGCTAGTCTCAGCTGTGTCTTGCAGATTGCTGCTGAGCAGGTAGTACAGTAGGTTTTTACAGGGAGCTTTTTCACTGAAAACAGCTGCCTGCTGGGGAGCTGCAGAGGTGTTGCTCTCTGCGGGTCTGTCACTACGAGCAACACCTTTCACATGATGACACATTGTTAATTGTTGATTTAGTGCAGCTTTAAGAACTCGGAGAGGAAGTTACACACCAAAGACTTGCCACTGACCTGAGCATTCTGCAGTATGTTGTTTACCAACACTACTCTACGTCTTGCATTCAGCAGCTTCTTTACATAAGGGTCCAGGTCTAGAGCCACCTTCTGATGTTCATTTATCCTGCATAACTCTGCAAACAATGTACATGACAACACACAAGACCAAAACAAAGGTTAGCAAACACATGCTATTTTATGTACTCATGTACCGGAATTTAGTATTTTTTAATTTTTATTTTTTAAAGATATTGGCCACTTAATACAAAAAAAACCACCTGAGTCAGGAATTTAAGAGAAATTATACAGCAAATTACCTGTGGCCAGATTGTCTATATGTTCTCTTAATTCTACCTGGCTTTCTCTGCAAAGAATAGAATAATCACATTAATCCAAAGGAAACACAGATGATACAAAATAGAGAATGCAGTGAAATATAAGTGCAAACCCTTTGAGCAGGTTAGTGTTTATTCATCATTTAAAAATATAACATTAAATCAAAATGACAACGGTAGTCTTTCAGGTTATCAATACCAATGCTTAAACACTCCAGGGCAACAATAAAGGCTAATTATACCAGTGGGAGAGTTGGCTGAGATGTATTTAAAGAAGTAACATCTCCATAGACAGCCATTTTGACATGAAACAGTAGGGTAAACACAGATGCTGCCAGTGATACTTAACCCTAACCCTAACCCTAATTACGGTTCTGTTCCATTCAGGTTCTTTCTTATGCAGTATTTTTTTGTAGTAGTGTTTTGTAAGCTGCTGGTAATTCAATTTCCCCGCGGGAGTCATCCCAAAAGGCTCAATAAAGAGAAGTCTAAGTCTGGGGTCGAACAGTCAGGGTGCCTTTCACTGGAAAAGCTCTGCTATACTAAATGGAACAGAACCATAATCATTATTATTGGTAACACCCGTGTTTATCCTACTTTTTAATGCCAAAATGGCTGCTGTGAAAAAGGTCTACTGTGAATTATAAAATAATAAACAGCACCGGGTCGACGTATTCTGCAAAGTCACGAGACTGTCAAGGGACTGGCAGCAGCCGTGCGTCATTAAATAATATCAATTCAGCTGCAATAAGGAATTCCAATGTACCTGACTGAGTGGACATGCAGGTCGAGCTGCTGGATAGCTGGTTTCAGGAGGTCGAGCAACCCCTCGGCAATAACATCTTTACCTGAAGAAGTCTCTACTAACGCCGCCGCAGCCATTTTAGTAAATCATCAACACAGCTAGGGCGGAAGTTACGACCCCGTGACGTCATAAGAACCTCTCCATTTTCTTCCAGAGAGTAGTCCGCTTAGCTAGCAGCACCATTTTGGGGAGACACATCGCCAAACCGTGTCTCTGGCATTGTACATTAATTCTGAAAAAAGACACTAGAGTTAGCTAATTTCTTGTGCAGGGTTTAATTAGGAAGCTAGCATATTATAGATTAGATTTAAACAAAAGAATATAAGGACGCCCTACACGGTCGCACAAGGCTGCTACTAGCTAGCTACCGACGCTAACTCTAGCTGGCTGTAAGGCTTTTCTCCACCGACGCAACGTTCACTGTAAGTAAAAATGGTTATTTTAGACCTTTGAATTCTGAGTGAGCTTCTTACATACAAATAAGTGTATCTAGAGTTAATAATAGCAGATGATGGGCCTATTTAAAGTCGAGGTCCGCCCAGCTAACTTGTCTATTATTAATTTTGTAAAGGGTGCGCTGTATTCTCAAAGTATCTCACTAAATGAATGTTCCTGACAGATTCAGTCGTGTGTGTTGAGTATCGAGGCATTCATGTAACCACAGAGTACTGATTAACTAGTACTGCTTAATCTGGAGCGGAGGAAATGAACACAAACAGTGGCACTAATGATATATGGCCTGGCAGCTGTTGACCTACTCAGTTGTTTTACTAATGGTAATTGCACAGACCCCACCATCTTGTGATTAGGTTCACAGTACAGTAGTATAGTTTTGGTTAACTGAAGGATTAAAAAAAAAAAAAAGCTGCAGGAGGTCATTTTTTATTTTTTAAAAAAAAAAACAACTTTTTTTTAATTGTTGAAACTTTCACTATTGTGTGAAACAATCAGTTCCTCTGGCTCCTCCTAGTGCTCCTAATGGCATTTGTAACAACCCACCGGGCCTGAATGAAAACAACCAATCAGAGCCGAGAAAGATGGGAAGATGTTTTGTGTTGGATGCTTAAAGAGGGGAATTCTTGCAAATGCCATTAGGAGCACTAACACGCAACAATCAGCTATCTTCAAGTCACCATCCCAAAGCATGTTTGTGTTGGCTCTAGGCTCTGTTTGATGGTTTTCGTTATCATTAGGAGATGTAGAATGAGCCAGAGGAACCTGATTTTCTCATTAACTACGGTCGGGATATGGTGAAAATTTTACAAACTTCTTTTGTGAGAGTTACCTACTGCACTTTTAATGCAGTGACTATGATTTCCCACCATCTTTTGTCTGGATGTTAATATATGCATACATTCTTTTCAACATAATAGACCCTTTTCACAGCAGCCATTTTGATGTGACATAGTAGGGTGAACACAGGCATTACCAATGATACTAATGCCTTGGTCACACTACATGGCTTTTAAAGGCTCAGATCGGCGTGCTGTTCACAATACAAAGCTATCTGTCATTTAATCTTGCACCTTGAAGTCGTGTTTTTCACACTACCTGACAGAACAGCAACAGGAGGTTGCACACTACCAGATCTTTCACTGAGTAATTCCACTGTCTGTCAGGTTTCCCAGCTACGTTTCATCCGGAGTCTTTAATATTACAGGTACATCGTGTTTAATTAGCAAAGTAGTTTTAAAAAGTGCACACAAAAGGCAACCATTTACAGCATACTGCTGTTAGAAACTGAATACAATAAGCTGATAATTAGCCTGATCAGTCAGTAATTATTACATGCACCAAACTCCCTTTTAAGAAATATCACATTTTAATAGTTCCTTACTTGTCCATAAATGCACGTAACTCCAGAAACACAAGATAAAGGGTGTCATATGTCAGCTGTCTTCTTGTCAATTTGGCATCAATATAATCTATAAAATTAAGTGTATTCAGTACAACTGTTACATTTTGTCTCCTTAACGGGCTCAGCCTCCGTTGTAGCTGCACTCTTTCAATGTGAGGCGGGCCGTTTTGATAGTTAATATTTCTCGCTAAAATAAGTGCTAATTGGTGGATCAGATACTGGCCGAACTGAACACACTCACTTACAACATTTGATGTAATGTTAAGCCAAATGTTCACTCAGATACCATAAGTTGTTAGAAATTTTGAGTTCACATTGTTTTATTTTCTGTCCCGTCTATTCCCAGGAGCCTGCAAGCGAAGTCTTCCAAAATGAGCGCACCCTCCTCCCAAAAAGTCGTCCTGAAAAGCACCACCAAAGTGTCCCTAAATGAGCGGTGAGGCGCCACGCACCCTGTCAGCAGTTAGACACCAGATGCAAGGGCCAGCCTTGGCTTGTGAAGGGTCTAGTGCTCCCTACGGAAGGCTACTGTTGGGGACCGGACCCGACATGGATGCTATTCTGACTGTCCCCAGTGTGTGCACTGCTCACTCAACTTTCCCGTCAACATTTGTTGGTGCTCCAGAGATTAATGTGGTTGTAACACAGAGCAGAGGGAGCTTGCCTGGTTCAAATATCTTGTGTGAGCAGTGCACACATGTAGACAAGGGGAGATGGTAGTGGTCATACTTGGTAAGCCTTGGTAAGCCTATGCTGGACCAGACCACTGTCCTACAAAAGCCATGGCACTCCTGCTCCCTGTTACTTGCACAGCACAGTATACATCAAGTATACGCCTTGAAAGGGGCGAGGAAGGCTTAAGCTAAACCAGGGAGATGGGGCACCTCTTAATGCTTTGTGCCTCTCAGACTTTTCTCTCTCAAACCAGTGGAAGTGAAGCACATACTCTTTCATCATCCTCTCCTGTCATTGTCTTTCTCCTCTCCGCTCCAAGTCTATTAAAGACCAGGCACTCAGTCCTAGCTTGGACGTGACAATGAGCTCCCCTTTCCCCCCTCCCATCTCTCCTTCCCTGCTCTCAGTCACTCGGTGGTTTAACCACTAGTCACGGTCCATGCTGTAAGTGGCTGGGTGGCCAAGCACTCCTCGCGCCCGGGGCCTCTGCTGCTGCTGCATGACGACACCCCAGCCAGTCAGCTGGAGGCCTGTAAGTGGCAAATCGTGCTCCTCTTCTGGCACCTCCTCTCTGCTTCTGTCCTTCAGTCTGTCTTCTAAGTTTCTTTATCTTGGTTTTCCTTTTCTTTTGTGCTTGTTTGAACACACACTAAATTCAACTATGAATCATTCTGGTTTGTCTTATGATTGAGAGAGAAAATGAGTGCCTGCAAGTGGAACTTACATGACAAAAGAGCCAGCACAGTCTGTGTGGCTGCATCCATAATATGAGAAATGACTTGATGTGGAACCCTGCTCCCTCCTCCTCCTCTTTATATCCCCTGTCCCCTTCTTTTACTTCCTCCCTCTTTTTTCCCTCCCACCTCTAAAGCTTCACTAACATGCTGAAGAACAAGCAGCCCACTGCGGTAAGCATTCGAGCCACCATGCAACAGCAGCATTTGGCCAGTGCCCGTAATCGCCGGCTGGCCCAGCAGATGGAAAACCGGCCCTCAGTGCAAGCAGCTCTGAATCACAAGCAGGTGAGGGCAAAGATCAGACCGAGCCACCTGCACCAATACTGTTTGACTCTCTGTTGTCTTCTACATGTATATTAGTCCTCTCAAATAAGACAGAAAAAGTGGTATATTTCATGAGTGAACTGTAGCTACATCCTGCGTGAGATGTTAATGGGAGCTACCTACCCTTCACCAAAGGAGGACAGTGTAACATCTAGTAGCTAAAGACCCAGATATTTATCTCAAAGTCCAGTCTAAATAATGTGAAATTAGTTGCCACTGAATTGTTTTCATACCTTTATACTATGGCTGAGGCACGTCTGTCCACAGATGTTGGAGAACGGTCACACATAGCGAAATCATCATTGGCGACTATTCTGTGCGAGTGAGGGGCAAAAGAAGAGTTCAATGCTTAAACCGTACTTGGACTTTAAGTAGCAGCCTCAGCCAATGGTAAATCTGTGTGTGGGGCTGACCCCTAAAACAGACTACAAACCAACCAAATGATTTCCATGTGCCACATTATGCCACAGTAGGTATACTTAAGAGAGCAGGAGGAGCCTGCATTGGCATATGTGTGACTGTACCCTTGCAATTTAAGTAGTTGTGTGGCTGACTCATCAAGCTTTTGCCTGTAGTAAACAGACTTAGTGGGGATCCAGCCCTGCATTAAAACAGCATGGGGCTGTGTTTGTTGATTCTGCTGAGACAGTAAAACACGATCCAGGAAGTCCGGGTGGTTTGACTGATTTATGCATTTAAAGTAGGGCTGCACAATTAATCTGAATATTATTGAAATCGCAATATCAATATCACAGAAGCTGCATTTGATAAAATGTGACAAACCGCATTATAATGAAGCACTGTAGAGCTGCAGAGATGCCTGCTCTTCTAATCTTGTTCTCCAGATGTAAGAATATAATGTTTAGTACAGATCCCAACAGAGTTGAACATAACATGATTTCAATTTTGAAAGTTAATGATACAAAAATGATCATTCCCCCACTAATCGGGAATCATATCGCAATATCTGTCAGACAATTTCAAAGTTTATCAGATACCAAAACAAGCCACAGCGGTTTATGATACTTGAAATAGTTATCATGGCGGCAACTATTATGTCTTTGGTCTCAACAATTGCAATTCTAATAGTGAATGCAGCGCTTTGCCAGATAAAATTGTGTTGTGTTGAAGCTGGTGTAGCTTTTTCGCTGGAGCCCTGCATCCACGGATTCAAATGAACTTGAAGTTGGTAGTTTTTTCACACAGAGGTCCTCTGAGCCCAGCGTCACTGTAACCACCACCTGTCGGATTACTGTTCCTCTCAATTGCCCGCCTTGTTTGTTCAGCTTAAATTTGTCATAACTGCATCCATGAATATCTTGTGTCAGAGCCTGAAGCAGCGCCTGGGGAAGAGCAACATCCAGGCCAGGCTGGGCCGGCCCATTGGGGCCCTGATGCGCGGAGGAGCTGTCGGTGGCAGAGGTGGGATGCGGGGGATGACCAGGGGAGGCCTCAGAGGACGAGCCAGAGGAGGCGCAATGAGAGGAGCACTGTCCATGAGAGGTGTGTATCCACAACCTTGCATAGTATCTCCCCTGTGAATATGGCTCCGAATCCAACTGCATGCTCAAGCTGTTGCAGGGCTGTGCCTTTTCTCCGTTTACTGGGTTTGCATTGAGTGATGTCATTTTGTGTTGCACAGGGAAGCGAGTGCTTACAGGCGGCCCCATGCGAGGCCGTGGCGCTGCTGGCCGTCTGGCAATGCGTAGAGGAGGCCGCCACCGCGGAGGAGTTGCTGGCAGAGGAGGAGCTCTGTCCCGAGGAGCAGCACGGGGGGGAGTAGCCCGAGGTCAGGGACTGATCTTGTATTTTCTCTTATTTTAAAAAAAAAAAAAAGCAATCCTTATTGTATATTGTTTATACAATTTGTTTCATATTTTGTGAACTTTCCTGCTTATTGACTTACGGTACTTGCTTTCATCCATTTCCATTTTTCTAATACTGTTTATTGTTATGCACCAGCATACCAAGGTATATTTATTGCATGTGAAAACCTACTGGCAGTGAACCCCAATTCTCATACTCAAGTGTGGAAAAAAATTGTACTTCTTACTTTTCGCTGCAGTAGGTAATTTATTTTTTTATTATATATATTTTTTGTCATAGGCTGAAGCTAAAGGAGACATTATAAATAGAAAAAAATGTACTGTCTCTAGATCAGTGCTATCCAGTCACCATTGCTGTGTCTTTTGGGTTTTTTTTGTCCAACAGGCCGCGGTGGACTGCGCGGGCGAGGTGGTTTCGCTGGCCGAGGGGGGCGCGGCCGTGGGCGGGGCAGAGGCGTCGGCAGACCAGTCGTGACCCGCGAACAGCTGGACAACCAGCTGGACGCCTACATGTCAAAGACCAAAGGTCACCTGGATGCTGAACTGGACGCCTACATGGCCCAGGCAGACCCAGACAGCATGGAGTGATGCTGAAGGACTCTGAAGCAGAAGCACACTGCGGAACTGCACAGCTGAACTCACACATACCGTGTAGTGTATTTTATACCAGATCGATGTGCTGAGAAATGATTGTGTTACTAAGTTAGATGAGTGGTGACCCAGGACTCTTAGCTTTGAACAGCAGGAAAATCACCTGAATGTGCTTCGACCTCCATTCGATCCTGCATCAACCCGCTCCTGCAAAACCTTTTTAATTCTGGAATAACTGTGTGAAGGGACCTTTTTAAAATATTAACGAACCCTGCTGTCTATAGATTTGTGTTTTTTGTTTTTTTATTTTTTATATATGACCTGAGAAACACTTAAAACAGATATCTGTAATGGCTTAAAATTGGTGACGGTCCAGGAGATGAGGTGTGTTGAATTCCATTATTTTTTTTTTTTTTTTTAATTAGATTTTAGCGTTGCTGTACTCAGATCTTTTGGGATTCATTAATTTGTCTGTCTTGGAATCATTTGCAATTCAAGACATTTCTAAATTATTTGTTTAAAAAAAAAAGTTTTAAGCCAAGTACCCATTTGTCTTTGTATTTAAAAGATGTAGAAGTTCTTTTGTTTCTCTGTATCTTCCACCCGTCAGCACTCCTCAGTGCAGCGCTGGCACTCTTAACTTGTACTTGAGAGCATTTGTATGACGTTACCCAAAGCAAGTAAAATAGGTTTTAATTAAAATGGAAATTGTGATTTCCCTAATTGTGTCTACTGTATGAATTTCCCTTGAGTAAAATGTTGACCACAGATCAAATGAAGTGAGTTGAAATGTTGTTTATCTCAGAGTGAACAATTAAATCAGTCAGTAATGGCAAAGTCAAAAAGAAGAGCTCAAATGTGGTACTTCCACAGTGGATGTAGACAGATGTTGGCGGAGATTCCCAACCTTATTGACTCCTTGAAGGTCCAGTGTGTAGGATGTAGTGGCATCTAATGGTGTATCCCCTTCCATGTGTGAAAGGGAAAAACTACAGTGGCTAAGAAATGTGTGGAAAACAAACAGCCCTTTCTAGAGCCAGTGTTTCGTTTGGCCATTCTGGGCTTCTGTATAAAAAGGGCGGTTCAATATTGCAGCCTCTGAGGACGTTCCCTCTGTAGGTAAAAACAGCTCATTATGAGGTAATGAAAACACAATGATTCCTATTTTCAGGTGATTATACACTAATGAAAACATAGCTATTAATATTATATTTCATTTCTGACAATAGATCCTCCTAAATGTTACACACTGGAGCTTTAAAGCGACTACTTTTGACCCATCATTAGTTGTATATGTGTACGTCTTATTTCAATCATTAGAGGCCTGAAAAGGCAAAAAAAATTTAAAAAGCATAAAATTGTAGTGTAAATGGTTTGTCTGTTGGCCTATCTTGATGAAAAATTATGTGACTTGGATGTTCCAGATCACTCGGATTGGGAAGCTTCCAAACCAGAGTGTTTTATGTTTCTTGGCTCTGATTGATTATTTTCTTTTATGCCGGGTGGATTCTAGGAGGAGCCAGAGGAACCTGATCTGTCTCATGTACTCCTGTCAGGATATAGTGAAAGTTTCAGTAAATACGACATGATAATGAACATTTTCTGAAAGTTAGTACTGCAGCCTTAAAGTTCCATTCAATTTATTGTAGAACAGAATTTCCATTGAGACAACATTGACAACAGCAACACCCTGACTAACCCTAATAAATGAAGTCCTCAGTGTGAAGCTGCGGCTGTGTTGAATCTCATGAAGGTGTGTGTCACATGACATACCTTATATTGTTACAACTGTACTGCTGTCTGTTGAGTGAATATCTGTTGATAAACTGGTGGATACATGAGCTGTCTGACCTATGCCACCACTTTTAGAGTCTGTAGTTTAACGATATGAGTTCATAGATTATTTCATTATATTTTTAATTTATCAGTTTTAATCCTGGTTCAACCATGTAAAGCACTTTGTAACTTTGTTTTTTAAAGTACTGTATTCATGAAGTTTATTATGAAAGCTGCAGTCGGTCATTTTTATAAAAATAACTTTTTGTCATATTTAGCATTTGCAAGAATCCACCGGGCTCAAACAAAAACAACCAATCACACTCAAGAAAGACGGTTGATTGTTGAGTCTCATTCCTGGGTTGTCAAATACCGATGCTGGGAATGAGAGATCTTTCTATAACCTTTTCACAGCAGCTATGTTGACATGAAATAGTAGGGTAAACACATGTATTACCAATGATACTTATTGAGGTTCTGTTCTACTCAGGTCAAACAGAGTCAACGTGCTGTTACTGTGCATGTGGGCTCACTGGAAAGTGCTAGTGCTGTCTAAGAATGTACATTTATTTATCACTTTAGCCAAAGTTAACTAGAAGACACACAGTTTCCTTTAATATTCAAAGCCAATTAATGTGCTGGTTCAGTCATGCATGCTTCTATGCAAAGAATACATTTATACTATCTGAATATGTTTTAAAATGACATTAAAACTGAAGTAATATTTATACTAGGCTGTAATACTATATATTATTTCAGTTTGAGGGAGGAGGAAAATCTGTAGTAGAAAGTTCAGCCTCTTTTATTCTATAATAATATCTATATATCAAAATATTATGTGTGTAACTAAGAAAGTGTGGCTAGAGGTAGATACGGAGCTTATAGATCTATTGGTCAATCTCAATTCAATTCATTTAGCAACACAATGACACAAATAATGGATACCAGTTATACAGATATATAAGTGAATACACACACAGTATACAATAACAATATGATAAAAATAAACAAACAAATAAATAAAAGATTACTATAAAACATTCCAGGGGTCACCATAAATAAATAAACACAGTCTCACAGTTTTAACAGCTTTTTTGTTGTTATCCTGAAGTTGTTAATAGTTCAATTCCTCTTCAAAACAAAGTGAGGTTTCACTTTAGCACATTTACATTGTGATAAATGAATGTAGTGTTGATCCTTATAAAGTTTGTAACTAAGTTAAAAATAATATCCCAGATAAATCTTAAGATATGTTGCCACGATTTCCGAGTTGCCGTGAACCTAACGCAGAACTGGTTGTCGGAAAGCGGTTTCAACTGACGTAACGCATCCTATAAATTGCTTTGCAGCAGGAGACGAGTTCCTTTTAGCTCGGTAGTCTGTCGTGTTGGGAGGCTGACGGAGAGAACACGGACAGAACACGGACATTGGGTAAATATAACCGCTATAAAGTGACTGAATATGTGCCGGACTGTCTGCTGAGTCAGCCTAGAGACATACATTGGTGAAGTAACGTTAGCTGCGCTTTTATTGGACACTTACAGCGTGACGTACTTACATTGTGGGAACCACGTTGTCTTCGTTTAGCATCAAGCTAGCTGCCAGCTAGCTTGAGTTAAAATGAGTAACGATTTCCTTAAATATTTAAATAAAATATGAGTGCACTAGTTCATGTTGAGTTGTTCCGGTTGTAGTTAACGCTGCAGTAGGTACATTTTATATTTGTTTAAACTTTCCCTATATCCTGACAGTAGAACCTGAGACAGATAATGTATGAAACCATCAGCGTCCTCTGGCTCCTCCTAGTGCTCATAATGGGATTAGCAAGAGTCCACCGGCCCGAACAAAAACAACCAATCAGAGCAGAGAAAGATAGAACGACACTTTGGGTTGGAAGCCTACATAGTTGAGTCTCATTCCCAGAGGCCCAGAGTGTTGTGTTTACGTGCCGCAATCGAGACTCTATCACTTTGACTCTGATCCCAATAGTAACGCTATTAGAGCGCTAGAATGAGCCTGGGGAACATCACTTTTTTTTTTTTTTTTTTAGATTATCTGTCTCATGTACTCAGGATATAGTGAAGTTTCAGCAAATATGATTTTATTTTTAGAAAATATTACCTACTGCAGCTTTAATCAAGTTAACTGGTTAAACAGGTTGTCAAATATGTGAGCTAATGTAGTAGACCTCATTCTCCATGATCATTCATGATTATTCAGTGCCACAGTGCAGACTAGTCAGTGGGATTGTTCCTGTGCAGTGGGGCTGATCCCAGAACAGCGGTGGCTATATAATGTCAGGTTTTGCTTTCACCTCTGCACTGCTGGTTGCTGAACGGTGCCAATGAGGCCTGGCACATTCACCCTCTGTATGCATGAGTTACCCTGAGAATGTGTAGCTCCTCAGCGGGTTACGCATCAATTAATGGGAACTTTTCAACATGGAACCCTCCTCTCTTTGCAGAATGACCTTGTTGCTGAAAGTGATGGGGAGACAGTCTCCTACAGTTTGTGCTTCCCCCTCTGGGACATGAGGTTAGTATTGGTCCTGGCCATATTGGGACTTTGATAATGTGCAGCCTTACAATGTTGGCACAGTATGAGCTCTGGTCCTGTTAGGTGGGCCCTAGAGCTCATACAGTGCACAGAGCAACTCATTCTCTTGCAACCCACTGCTGTTGAATCAGCAGCAGTGTTACTAATGGGAATTGACAGCTGTTACATTTTGCCAACTTGTTTCTGTTTCAGTGGCAGTAAATTAAAACTGTTTGTGTCTGCCAGGTGCTGGAGAAGACCTTAGGCCAGCTGGGTGAGTTATAGTACAGTGTACACTTACTGTTGACCAGGTGTTATGATGATTGGCGTAATATGTTCAACTGCTCTGAAGTGTGATTGACAGCTGCCTCTCTGAACAGCACACTGCTGATAACTGATGCTATTGCTTCTGGAAACACATTCTCACCTTCAACATGCCTTCTGCAGGTCTGCTCACTGTCCTGGCTTTCAGCACTGATGAAACCACATAATGTAAGTACACAGAGCGTGCACTGACATCACCACCACCACCGAGTGGCAAAACAAACCAACAGGTAGCTCTTATAAATGAACACATGCGGTATCAGGACGAAAACAAGCGTACTGTAACTAAGAGCCACCAGAATCACAGTGCTCTAACTAGGAACTGATGACAGCACTGTACGGTATCTGCAGCCAGTTGCTTCATCAGCTGGTTAGTTCATAAGTCAGTGCTAGACCAACTCAACATCTGGCATCGTTGGTCTCCATGCTGCCTGTGCTTGGAGTCCTGGTATATCTGTTGAAACATTTGATCATGTGCTTATACTTAACATACCCGACTGCTAAATGACTATACCATGGAGCAGTGTCAATCTTTGAATCTTTTTTATTTTTTTTTAAGCGCAAAGAACATTCTGGATATCTGCAATAGAATTCTTCAGAAAACTAATTTGGCATTGTGACTAGTAGAAATGCAGTTTCAGACATTTCAATTTATGACTAGAAACGATGCAACTGCAGCATTAATGAAAGCATCCCTGCACCAATAACTGCATGTGCTGCTCCTGCTCCTCTGCAATCAGCTGTGTCATGCTCTCCTACCTAATTCCTCCAGGGTTCTCCTGCATGGACATACAGCCTCGGTGGCGCAGGCTTCAGCAGAGATCAACAACAGAAGGTGAGTGAACCGACGTCGTTGGAAGGCTGGATACGCTGAGGTCTATCCCGACAGACCTTTCACTGTAGGGTCATGTCGTTGGAAATGCCTCGGATAGTAACTCTGTAGTCTCGCTTTACCCACATGTTCCCTGCCATGAGCCTTGTGGGATATTACTGCAGTACACATTTATTATTAAAGACGTGTCAGCCACAGGGACCCTGCTCTTCTGCTGGGGAATAGACAGGTTGACATATACCAGAGTCCACGTGGAGCCACAGTCTGTGTGCTTTACAAGTGTTTGGATAAAAGGGTGGTCTTGATAAAGATGAACTGAAGATGTTAGTTTATGCTGTACAAGTGGGCAACAACATATCAGTAAGATTGTTTTGTCTGTTGGGAGATGTGTTGGCATTTTACTCAGTGTCCTTTTGTCTTTAGGGTCCCAGTGACAGCAGGAACATGAGACACTAATGAACAGTGGTAAGTGGATTTGTCTCTGCAATCTCACTATCTGTCCAATGATTGGATGTACACCACGACAGCACTGTACGGTATCTGCAGCCAGTTGCTTCATCAGCTGGTTAGTTCATAAGTCAGTGCTAGACCAACTCAACATCTGGCATCGTTGGTCTCCATGCTGCCTGTGCTTGGAGTCCTGGTATATCTGTTGAAACACTCAGTCTGTGAAGCAGTCCATTTTAAATGCGCTGTTGGGTCCACATCAGCAGTTTCAGTTGGTTTTGGTAGACTGCTGTCCACACACCTGCTTTTACTGAGTGACAACAAGGCAGTGACTAGTTTGTAACTAAATCGCTACTGAAGTAGTTAGTCTAGGACAAGTGGCTTATCAGTGGTGGAGGCTGCAATGGCTGAAATGATGCTGTGTGGCAGAAACTGCTGTTAACTCATCAGTGAGTATAATTCTGTGACCATGATTTACACTACCGTAGGGGCATGTAACTATTGAGTTGTTGGAGTTAAGTTATCTGTGATGCAGCGCTTTTATTTTAGTAATGTGTGTAAATTACAACTTTAACTTAACTTTAAACTATCAAACTGCATGTGCTCACAGTAAACACATTCCTCTTTAATCCTGATGGTTGTTCCTCCAGGGTTCTCCTGCATGGACATACAGCCTCGGTGGCGCAGGCTTCAGCAGAGATCAACAACAGAAGGTGAGTGAACTGACGTCGTTGGAAGGCTGGATACGCTGAGGTCTATCCCGACAGACCTTTCACTGTAGGGTCATGTCGTTGGAAATGCCTCAGATAGTAACTCTGTAGTCTCGCTTTACCCACATGTTCCCTGCCATGAGCCTTGTGGGATATTACTGCAGTACACATGAGCAGTGGAGTGCCAGTCGTCTGTCGGGTTTAGTAGTAGCTATTGCCATGTGTAAAGATGGCTGATATGACGGCTTAGTTTCTGTACAGTGGGGAAAAAGTGGAGACCTCCATCTTGTTGATGGTGGTAGCAGTGAGGTAGTTGAGGTAGAAGTTAACTTTCTGCTTCCTTGTCTTTGAAATTCATAGCTCACATTTTAATGAGTTGGAGAAAACTGGAATGAATCCTATTTGCTTTAGAAATCTAATTTTAAAAACTAGTATTGTAACTTTTCACATTGCACACCAGCCTTACTTATTGCAACTTCCAGATAGTCTTGTTTTTGTCTTAGTGTATGTCACATGATCACGTCCCCCTATGTAGCATATAGGTTGCAATAAACAAACTGGAATGTACTACACCTGAGCTTTTGCAAAGACGACCCAAAATGAGACTGAGAAGAGAATCAGGATGTGTTTGTATAACAACCTTTTCTTCTTCAGAATGGTGACCCCATCCCAGAGATGCAAACTGAGGCGTTCAGCAGCCTGTCACTGTAAGTAATGTCCGTCTGCTGTAGTGTTAGGGTTGGTCATATACCAAGGCTTTCGGGATTCTCAGTTCCTGACTTGCTGTGGAATTGACCAGAAAACAAACCATCTCAGTGGGCTTACGTAGTGGGCTTCTGTGCTGCCTGCTGATTAAAGACCTGCTGGGAACATGACCTGCCATCACTGCTCTGCCAGTTTCTTTTGTTAATGTTACATTTGGTAGTCTGTCACTGTCACAGGCATTCACCTCGGACAGGACAACCCTTGAGTGTAACAGCTGAATTTGCTTCCTTTGTTTTCAGACCCATGAGTGAGCAGCTGAGAGCGCGCTGTCTGTGCTGGGATCTGTTCTAAATGCAGCTGTATCTTCTACAATGTACTCAATAAATAAAAACTCCATAACTACACAACGCTCTTCACTTTTGTCTCTCCTAATATCTAAGCAAATCTGATCAAATGTGTTAAAGCTGCAGCTTAAAGTTGTCATATTTACTGAAACTGTTGGTATGAGTCTCTTAACCTTTTTGTAACAAGGTAATTAAAACTACCTTTTATCATCCTTATGAATACGATCAGAAGGGTGCTGAAATACTCGGAATACTCACTAAAGATTACCTTTATTCTCTCTACTGGATTACTGAAGAAGGCTACAGCTAGTTCTGAACGCTGCTGAACTAAAATTGGGAAAATAGATCACGTCCTCTGCTGAAGACACTGCGCTGTATCTTTTAAGAATTGATTATAAAGTTATTTTACTTGCTTGTCAGGCTTTAATGAGCTTGCTCCTCCATACATCAGACTCTTTATGTTCCAGCCAGATCACTGAGGTCCTCCACCACTTTTCACTGTTCCTCATGTGCCCCGTAAAAGCACTGGTGAGAGTGCCTTGTCTAAACTGGAACTCACTGCCTCTGGATACTGGAACAGCAAACACTCAGTAACTTTAAAAGGAAATGAAAGCCCTCTCCTCTTAATCTGGCAGTAGTGTTACAGCCTTAGTTTTTAGTCTTCAATCACTGGTTTCTACATTAGTCCTCTCCCTGGTGTTTATTTTAATATGGATGTTTTTAATGTTTTACATTTTATTAATTTTTAGCCTTCAATGAGTGGTTTCAGTTTGAAGCCCTCTGGGCTGCATGTTTGTATGGAGGGTGTAATATAAATAAAGCAGCATTTTGCTGGTAAGTCTGGTAAATATTTGGATCTCATCTATTTTGGAATTACTCAAATTGATTTGCATTAAGGCTAAGATAGGAATGGTAAATGATCCAAAACATGACACCATACAAGTCTATTGCAGTGGTTCTCAACTGGTTTCACTTTGGCACCCACATTTTCCACAGTCAGTCATTTGCTACATAATTTTCTAGAATTTAAAAAAGGTAATTCATAGTGTCATTAGTTTAACCATTTGTGTCTGCAACTGAAAATCTGAATTTCAATGAAAAGTTTGTTTTTCTTCTCACTATATTTAGTCTTAGGGCACATGGGACTACTGTTTTTTCCTAAAATGGTAGAAAATGAGAATAAGCAATAAAAAGTGAGGGGTTTTCATCATTTTTGTATTATCTATCTATATCAATAAAGGTTGCACAAACAAAATACAAATTTAACAAATTAGCTGTATCTCAAACTACAAGGAGCACAATAAAGTATTGGAGGTCTATGGACTCATAACAAGTTGAATATCAAAGATATGCACACGTATAGAGTAAAAATAGTATGGAAAACATTTAATAAAATGTTGGTGACTTTCCTGACCAGTGATTTCTCATGTGATCCAAACATGTAAAAGTTGTACTGTTAGATACTTGCCCAAAGTATGTCAGTATCAAATGTCAAGACCAACCAGAACAAATGTTATGGCATATTTCCATATCATACCAAATATAGTATTTTGGCACAAATGTGTTAAACATAAAATGTACACACATTTCCATGTAAACAGGGTGCTGTTAGTTTCTGCAATCAGAGCACATTACTCTGATAATCAACTGCATCTCAACTGCGTGCTGCTGATATGAATATGAACATAACTGTTTACACACAAAATAAGTATGTTGTACAAAATGGGCTCTTAACAGAGACATTTATAGAATCAGACATCAGTTAGCTAACCATTTCACATTCATTTTTTTGACCACCCGCACGTCTGGTGAGGATGGCCATACCCACCACTGAGGTCACCAAGGTCCAGACCTCTGTATTTTTTCCAAGGGGTATACAATAAAAGCCTGGAAATAATTACCACAAAATATATTTCCTTTGATGCTTTGCCCCCAGCAAGGTCAGTTATTTTACCTCCATATTTGTAAAAGCCTACATACAGCATTACTGCTGAGGTACTCCTTAATGCCCAAAGAAAACAGCACTGAAAATGTCCTTAAAATTAGGGTTATGTTGTGTTCAGGGTTGTGGCCCACCGCTTGCTTTATCTGAAATGCTCCCAGGGTGATGGCACATCACATTTCCAAGTAAAACAGTAGGAGCATATTTCCTCCACTAGGGGGCAGTATGTTTATACTAGCATGCAGACTTGCCCCTGTTGAGTTGAGGTTTCATGTCCTTTAAAGGAGATGTCTTAAATTGGAGGTTCTTTTCTGATTTGATGGCACAACAGATTGTCCCCACACAGACCTTTCCATCCCAATGTGTGATATAAAATGCTGACATTTTGAAATCTTTTGTGTATGAGTACTTGTCCTCTGTCCATCTATATGCTCAGTATGTAGTGATATGCATGACCCTGTGGCGCTCACAATGCATTGGTGTGTATGGTACAGCACCCACCCCGAGCTCTTCCATTGGTCTGAGAAAACTGCTTCTTGTCCAAGCCTTAGCAGCAACAGTGGGCTATGCATCCGAGCTGAAACCTGCACCTGTCTCACTCACTGCTCTGACTGACTGTTGTTCACTGGCTTCTAAGCAACTCACTCCAACATTTCCTCTATAAACTGAAACCACATGGCAGCTAACTATTACCACCTGATTACACAAGCATCTTTGTCTTCTTTACACTTTCTTTAAAGTCATGTGCTCTGTTTAAATTATAGGAAGTGCAGCATCAGACAGGGACAGAACATTCTCAGTAACAGCCTCTGTTCTCAGTGAAGAAGCAAGCTGCCAACTTTTGACAACCACCCTTCACTTCTTTCTTTCCTGTCTTCAGGACATTCATGGACATATTATGAGACAATGGACCCTTGGGTACAGACATGTAATAGGTTCCCCGCCCCACATATCAAGATTGAAATGAGGCAGCCATGTTGTTTGTGGTCATCCTGTGTCTCTTGGTCACATTTTGAGGGTGAACCAGAACTCTCAGAGACACAAAACCACTTAGAGATGTTGTTTGTGTTCGCTCTGTGTCTCTGTAGTTGTTTTGTGTCTCTTTGAGGTCATTTGACATCTTTTCATCATGATTTTATAAATATTAACTTCACACAAACATTATTGACCATGAAGACTGTATTTGGCTAGGGTATTCCTTTAAAGATTTTATGGTGGGAAATTCTCCGGATGGTATGATATCATCTTTAGAGTGTTTTAATTTAAAGAGTGGGTGAAAGTTCACAGAAGGGAGCAATGTGATATCATCAGATCCCAAAACAGCTTCTTGTCCAAGCCTTAGCAGCAACAGTCGGCTATGCAGGTCACATGACACCATGTATGTGTTGTGTCACGTGACCTGCAAAAGAAACAGCTAGGAGGTAAAGTAAACATTTTGAATATTAGCTACAATATTTCTATTGAAAACCCACGTGTTTGTGTTATTGGTGGTCAGTCAGCCAGGCGGAGCCACAGATGGACTGATGTTCATGTCCTCTGGACCAGAACAGACTCTGGAATGAATGAGGTTGCATACTGGAACATTGCATCCAGTCCTCAAGACAACAACAGGAGTTCTACTAACTGTGACTGTTACTGTGACAACACTGTCATTTCAAAATCCTCTGCATGTGTTTGTTGCAATCCCTCAATCCTGATGTACAAGGCATGGACAAAATAACACAAATGGCTGTGCAATGCATTCTAATACATTAGCCCTGCAATACACACTGCCTTTGCAAAACTGAAAATGGTCAGCTGACACATATACAACATACACTGATCAGCTGTAACATTGTTACAATGTTACTGTGTTCTGACCCCTTTCTATCAGAACCAGCATTAACTGTTTCAGCAGTTTGAGCTACAGTAGCTCGTCTGTTGGATCGGACCACACGGGTCAGCCTTCTCTCCCCACCTGCATCAATGAGCCTTGGCCCCCCCCCCATGACCCTTTCTCCGGTTCTTTTCCTTCCTTGGAGCACTTCTGATAGGTACTGACCTCTGCAGACCGGGAACACCCCACAAGAGCTGCAGGTTTGGAGATGCTCTGACCCAGTCGTCTAGCCATCACAATGTGGCCCTTGTCAAAGTCTCTCAAATCCTCGCACTGCCCATTGTTCCTGCTTCTAACACATCAACTCTGAGGACAAAATGTTCACTTGCTGCCTGATATATCCCCCCCCACTGAAAGGAGCCATGATAACCAGATAATCAGTGTTATTCACTTCACCTGTCAGTGCTCACAATATTATTGCTGATCAGTGTGTATATACACACATGCAGCCAGTCACCTTGAATTATTGCTACTTTTTGCATGGCTGTATATACTGTTCATCATATATATGTATCTTTTATCGTGCACCCAAAAAATCTCAGCCAGGTGTAAGTCTGGAGTGGATCATGCATTTGGTTGTGTGTATCTGTCCACAGTTAATCTTGCATGCTACTGGACCCATCAGCCTTATATTTTTTGTGAACATTTATGACTGTATGCTCATGGAACTCTTGTTGTTGTGGTGATTCACAATGTTTGTAAAAACCTATTTTATTGCCCTATATGCCCTGTTTTATATTGCCACTGACTACTGACTTTTGTTGGCATTTTCACTTTGAAACTGACATTTTACATTGCTGGTGTTTTGGAATTGTCTGAGGTTTATCCCCATATAGCCTGTCTACTCTTGACAATGTAACCTGCATATTACCTCCCCTTCATTTCAGAATCAGACTCAGAATCAGAATCAGATTTTTTGCCAGGTAGGTTTTTACACATACGAGGAATTTGTCTTGGTGCAATGGTGCTTTAAATATACAATCACACAAAAATATATAATATATAAATCAAACACAAGAATAAAGTACTTAAAATATAAAATAAATAAAGATAAGAAAGATAAGAAATGATAAGAAGACTGTACAGAAGACGGGAGTGCATTAATGTAATGATGTAATTTCACTACTTTGATGCAAACACGCTTGATACACAGCCTGCACTGCGCCCCCTGTTCATGTCAGCTGATAGTGTGCTTCAGTGGTGCATATTCCCAGAGAAATTTTCAATTAAATTAGCACACACAGT